GAGCAGGAACAGGAGCAGGAGCAGGGTCTGCAGCTCCAGGCAGTGTTCAAGCGTGGGCCACAAACTAATAGAAACGCCCAAAACGGCGATTGCCAATGACAACCAGTTATTGGAGCTGGCGCAGGAGTAGGAGTAGGCCAGTCGCAGTAGGAGGTTGACTCCGACTCATCGTCCATCTATCCGTGTGTCTGTCTGGCATGTATGGCGACTGATGACAGCGGCGCCCATTTCCAAGTAAATCAATCATAATTCAAGCACAACAAGTCCGTAATGGAAATTGTATAGCTGGCGCTCCTTCAATAGCTACAGTGAAGCCTCACAAAACAGACAGAAAAGTCGCATGAACAAGGCGCTCAAGTAGAGGTTTCACTGTAGGCATATCAGTTTTTTGAGACTAGTTCAGTCAATTGTATCTAGTGACACGCCCCCGACGCTTGCCGCCCCGCCCCCCTCTCCGGCAGGCATTTATGCAAATTCTGGCTGGGCTTGTTGCGTGTCCGTGGCAAATGAAGGCGCAACGTTGAATTTATAATTGATGCGGCTGCAACAACAATTGGTCATGACTACAGCTAGAAGTTGCCATGGGGCAGGCTTAGGAGCTCCACCTTATAAACAAACTTTAACGAGAAGACAACTCAAAATCAACTCCAAGTCGAGGGCGTTGCTAGGCGGCGGGGGGCGTGGCCCCCCAAAAGCGGCTGAAGCATACGATTTCCTGCCGTCCAGGCGCAGGCAATTAAAGTCAAATATTTATAAATGAAAATAATAATAGAAATTCATGCAATAGCCACAATTCGCAACAGACAATGGAAAAACAACAAACAACTACAAGCTGTACAGTTGGGTGTGCTCGATTAGCAGATACCCTGTAGACAGCGAGGAGCTGCCGTGCTTGTTCTACCCTTAGTCTCTCACTTGGGATGTTGTTAATGTGATTAACTCGGAAATGCGCGTACATCCCAAAGGCCGGGAGCTGCGGCATCTACGGTATCCATATGGGAATATCTAAAGCGAATTTGTTGCCTCTCGCTCGTAATAACAAAGGTAAACTTATTGCCTGACAAAGCTACGCAATAGTGCAAACCGGCGTCCAGTCTTTAGAAAAAAACACACAGGTTTTGAACCTTGGCATTTCGCAAGGTTTTTCATTCTTTCTGTTTTTTTTTTCGCGGCACAACTGGACTCAGCGTCAAATGTCGGACCCAAGCGCCCAGTGCAATTTTCACACATGTGTCCGGTGTCAGAGAATAGTTTATGGGGGCAGCAAGGGGAGGGGTTGGGGCAATAGTGTATGGCAATGGAAAAGCCAACAATTGCAAATGTACAACGAAATGTTAATTAAATACCCTTTCAGATATATTTATAATAGAACTGAGTTTATGTGTCTATTGTAACTATCGCAAATGTGTCGCGCAGGCGACAAATGTTCCTATTTAAATGACATTCTTTTATGCTCTTGAAATTCCAAGAAAACTGGCCTAGGTCTTTTGCTAGAAGAGTAAGATATTGCAAATGATATGGGATATCTTTTGAATGAATTGAATTGAAATGTATTTAAAGCTAACCTAAGCTATATTTGACTTGGTTTTGAATCAAATAAGAGTTTACAAGCTATAAATACAGCTATTAAAAAGCTTCAAGACACAAAACGCATCACAAAGTAAAAGAACTCCGCGCTGATACTAAACTTGAATGTTTAACACCTCTCGACAGCAGCTAAAATTTAATTAAATCAGAGTGTATGTGTGAGTGTGTGTGAGTGGCAGCAGGTGCAGCTGTAAATTGTTAATGCCAAGAGTCATCAAATTAAGCATTTTACCACACAGATACACACACAGACGCTCACAGACATAAACACGCGCCGTCGAGTGCACTGCGCCCCACAAAGTATGCAGCAGTTTTTTTCCAGCTCGACCGGAAATGAGCAGCTGCCCTGAAAAAGTGCTCGACTTTTGAACACGTTAGACAAAAACGGTTCGCATTTAACAAACGGTTTCGAAGTCAAAGAACTAAGCATACGTATTTATTTTAGTTTATTTTAGTTCATTCACACGAGACACGATAAAATGAAATTCATGTCAGTCAGTTGGGCGACAGAATTAGAGCTGGGGCGTGCCTGTGTCGGGGCTGGGTCGGGGCATTCGAAGGGGTTACAAATAACATTTCCAGCAGGCACAACAACAATACAACTATATATAGCAACCATATAGTCATGTGTGTGTGTGCGCAGTTAGAGACTTTCATTAATATTTGCCAGTTGTGGCACACTTGTCAATTGTCAGTGTGACCAGACGTTATGCAGGCATAAATAGACAAATCAGTGTGGCACTACTGCATGAGCAAAACTACAGTGAAAACTAATCTAAAGACTGGCTATCCAATAAATTTCTGTGTAAAGAAATTAGATTGAAGTTGAGGAAAAATTTGTGTTTGCAATTGTTCTAAGTATATTTACGCTTTAATAATTTGATAGAAATAAAATATATATATATGCAAGTCAGAGTCGGAAGCGTCTGACTCGGGCATATCCTAAATATTCTTCTACGATCAAATAACTAAAGATACTGGCTCTGTATATACTATACTAGAAACCACATGTCAAATTTTGTGACTCCGACCTTCAAACCTGGGAGATGCATGTCTCTAGCTTGAATATTCTGCGAGCTGTGCTTAACAAAGCCAGACTGGAAATGGATTCTTATCGATTTTGAGTAAAGTTCCCTAAACTAATGCATGCAAGAGTTTCAATCTGATCCAAATTTAGAGTCCGATGCGATCTATAGTTAGAATAGCTATTTAGAATAATTATCTAGACAGACATTGGTCAAATTGTCCCGACTTTTTATGCCATCCTTTGTTCTTTAGCTCAATTTTCATAAATGGAATATGCTTCCTTTAGTTTGTATAAATAAAGAGCTTGTGAATTTTGGAATACCCTTCGTTTCGTCTTGCGAGCGACCACTGTAGCTACAGTACATTCAACTATGCCAGCTGAGCTGAACTTTTCCCTTGCTTTTGCTCCTCGGTCTATCGGTCTGACTGTCTGCCCGGCTGTCTGTCTGTCTGTCTGGCTGTCTGTCAGGCCCAATAACACGAGTGACTGTCGAGAAATATCTAAGCTATCCATTTCGGTTGGAGTCAACTTGTCTGCCTGTCAGTCCCGACTCAATCAAACAATTTTTGACGCATTTCCACACACACACACACACACACACTCTATTTTCCCCGTCAGGTGCATTAATTATTCAGTATTATTCGCATATTTAATGTGCATTTTTGCGTATATATGCATGCATCTTTCCCTTCCACTTTTCACATGTTTTACATGCGCTTTTTTGGACAATGGAAGCTCAACTTTTTTCATTAACTTTGTCAAGTTGCAAAAGTGCCAGTTGTGGGACGTCCCTCTTGATGTTTGTGTTCGCCACTTGCCGCACAAATTCGTCTACACTCAGCGAAATAACAGAAAGAATTCAAGAATGTTGCACTTAAGCATCTTAAAGGTCTTTTTGTATTGCTAGCAAATAATTGTTTTACTTCTGAGCAAGTTTTTCTGAATATGATTTATATATTCAAGAAATGTTTGCAAGAATAGATGCTCTGAATTCCAGCAAGTTGGTTTAAACCGAACAAAGAGAAAGTGCTGGTACGGAGATATTTCTCTGAGTGTGTGTTACGCAAGAACCTTGCCCCCAAACACGCCTTATTCTTTTCGACGCAGCCCACACACAATTTTCAGAGTTGCCAAGTCTTGTCAGAGCATTTGAATTGAATTTGAATGAAAACATTTGGATAACAATTTGGCAACTGCAGCCGAGGGGATCCCCCCTCGGTTCGACATGTGTGTGGCTTTTGTATGCACAAATGTTGCAAAGTCACAGTCGAGATGAAGCCCAGCTACAGCTACAGCTACAGATACAACCCACACAGCTCGCAGCACGTAATCATCTACCCAAAAATCAATATCGAGGCAGGGCGGTGGAGCTCCAAATACAACTGCATGGCGCAGTGGTTGCCATAACCCCCTCTTCTGCAATCGTACATGTCATGCTGTTGCATATTTAACGCGCTTGCGAAGCCAACTAACAGATACAACTAGAGCCGGGGGTTGCTGGGAGACGGGGTTAATGTGCAAATCACGCAAAATGTATGCGCATTGAATGGAAATAAAACATTTAAGTCTAGAGAAAACAACTTGCAACAACGAAAGACATTCAGATTTCTATGAAAGCACTTGAATCCCACACAAGAGTCGACCAAATAACGAGAGTCTGCCAAATCGAAAGGATAAATCACCAGGCAACGCAAGGAGAGACGACGGCAAGCAGGACGCGGGTTCGAACTCTCTGTGAATGGAGTTTCCAGTCTTGCTGGGAAGTTGATTATCTCCGGCATACTCTTAGCAAGCAGGCTGAGCCATTGTGTGGTTTGTCAAATTGAAAGCTGTTCATAAATGATAAACAAAGTTCGAGCTTCCACTAAATCATTGCGCAGGTGTCAAGTAATGGAAATTAAGCTGAGCCACAAGACAAGGTGATAAATTGAATCCAATATCATAATAATAAAATGCTGCTCAAGAAATTAACCAAGAAATTCGCAAGAAAATAAATAACTTCACTAATCGTGTAGATAAATGAGCCTCAGTCAGTGCGTCTCAAACTGTAAATTTAAAACTGTACGCATTTAGTTAGACATGCGTTGACCATAATGGGCGTGGCTATAAAATGACAGACATTTTTTAAAAGTAAACCCAAATAACTGAAAACAAGTAAACAAATTTTGCTGATTAAGTAATTTAGTAATTTGGCTCAGTGGCTTCCAAACTGTGTTCTTCAAACTGTAAATTATTAAGCTAAGCTTGATCTTATAAGAAGATCTCTCTAGCGCTTTTGATGTTTAAACAAGATTATCATCAAGAGCATACAAAAGAAAAGAAACCAAGTGAAAATAAACGTTTTTTAATATCTCACTTAAATAAAAAGAATCGCGTAGTAAGAAGGCGCCCCAAGTCTAAGCACAACCTCTCAATCCTCAACTCTCAACTGAACTGGACTGGGCGAAAAACGGCGACTATAACTAATCTATAGACTAGGCAGAAACCATGCAAGGAACTGTCCACAATGCCTCTTCTTTTTCTCTCTCCCCCTCTCTCTCGCTCTGGAAATCCTTCCTGCTCTTAGTTGCTGCTCGAATTGGAGCTGATGCTCTGCAGCGAACTGTTGGATGCCGTTTTGGGCAGCGACTCATTGCCGCCGGCAAGGCCGCATAGATTCTGGACGAGCGTTGCCGTGGAGCGCGCCACAATGGGCGAGCATTTGGCATTGTTGGAGCTGGCAATGGAGCTGGCACTGACCGCCGCCAGGCTGTGGCGCAATGGCTGCGGCGACGTCGGATTCGAGAGTCCGGATTCGTGTATCGGCGACAATGTGGGCGAGCGTGTGCGCAGAAAATGCTTGCGACGTTGCCGTCTATACACATTGCCCAGGCCGGGCAGCTGCCGGCTGGCGCACTGTGCCGGCGACGGCGACGGCGACGTGGACTGTCCATGGCTGGTCACAAAGCCGAGCGTCTCGGCCAGCTCGGCCAGTTCGCTGGCGTTGGGCATTTTGCGGCGCGTGGGCGGCGGCAAGGCGGGCGGCAGCGTCAACGTATAGCTGGTGGTCACGTAGTCCTCCCGTATCACGCTGGTGGGCAGCAGCATCAGCTCCTGGCTGCCGGTGCACGGCTCGCTGCTCAGTTCGCTGCTCAGCTCGCTGCTGCTGCCGCTGCGGCTGGGCGAGCTGATGGTCGGCGGCGGCGGCGGTGTCGCTGTTGTTGTTGTGCTGGACGCATTGGACGCGTAGCCGCGGCCCGGCTGCAGCTGCAGCGGACGTATCTGGTTCTGTTTGATGGCGGCCACATGCTGCTCCGCCGCGGCCACGCCCTGATTGCCGGCGCCGGCAGCGCCGCGTTGACAGCGCGCCCGCCTGTAGCGTCCAAGCAGGCGCAGCATGTGCCGCAGCCGGGAGCTGCGCGGCGCCTTCAGCGGCAGCTCCGGATTGACGGCGGCGGCGACTCCAGCTTGTGGCAGCTCCAGACCGCCGTTCAAGCTGCGTATGAACTGGACGGGCAGCTCGCTGGCATTCATTTTGGCGTGCTCGCGATAGCTGAGCGCCGCTAGCAAATCGTTGGGCACATCCGGGCTGTCGGGCACGCTGGCGCAGCAGTTCCATTTCCGGCGCCAGCGCTGGTGCTTCGATATGTTGCCCGCTGCTGAGGCGCTCGATGTGGGCGTGGCCGTTTGGCTGGCCAGCGTACGAGTGCTGCTGCTGCCCCCCGCGCTGCCGCTGCCGCGCAACGGACTGCGCAGCCGAAAGGTGCACAAAGTGCACTGCTCCGTATATTGCAGATAGCCGGCCGATCTCTGGGCCCGCTGCTGGCGCACCGTGGCCGGATCCAGGGCCGCCTTGACGCTGGCCGCGGCGCTGACGCGTCGCTGCATCGAACCGGCCGCATAGCTGGAGCAGCAGTGAAAGGAACGCAACGGCGCCGCATCCACATCCAGTTGCAGGCTGCGCTCGCTGCTGCTGCTGCGCTCCTGGAGCAGCGAGCACATGTAGATGGCCTGGCGTGTCTGATGGTATTCCCGGGAGCTGGCGCAGCAGTGCAGACGCTGTGCATCAGCAGCTGTGTCCGGCTGCAGCTGCTGCTGTTGCCTCTGATTGGGATGCGGCACATTGGAGCAGCAGTAGAGCTGGGCTGTGCCGGCGGCAGCCAGCTTGGACGGATGATTAACTGTGGGCAGATTGGGATTGAAGTGGACGCCGTTTTTGCCCTGCTCCAGCAGCTGTTTGGCCCTGGCCTCTTGTGCCTGTCGATGATTCCTGATGTACTCGTACGTGGTCAGGCCCAAAAACGAGATGTAGATGTGAAAGAAGCACAAATGGAGCAGCAGCCCGGCACTGATCGCCGCCAGCAGGCCGAGCACGCCCAGCAGCAGCAAGTAGATGGTCTCATGGAGACCAATCCCGGCGACCAGGGGCGTCACCGTACGATTCAACTGCGGCCCGGTCGTGCTCTGCTCCAGCAGCGCCGTGAAGTTCTGCAGCAATGTGGACACCGTAGTCAGATTTTCCAGTTGCAGCTGCTCATCTTCCAGCTGCTGCTGCTGCGGCTGCTGCTGATCCTGGTCCTGTTCCTGCTCCAGCAGCAGCATGCTGCCATTGCTCAAGCTGAGCGTCAAGTTGATATAGTCCGTGGACTCCAGCGTTGTGTCCAGCCGGCTGTTGCACCAGTAGAAGCTCAACCAATCGGGCTGCACATAGTAGAGCACAATCTGGCCAATCACGGCGGCCACAATGACCAAGGTGGCCACGACAGCGCTGACAACGCACATTAGGAATGCGACATAGTTGCGGGAACCGATGCAGTGATTCAGCCACTTGCAATGATGATCAAATTTGCCGACGCACTTGTTGCACACGGAGCAGTGCTTGGTCCGCGGCGTCGTTGTCCGTATGTTGCACAGATGACAGCGTCCGTTCTCGATGACGTGTCCGTGTTTGCTGCGATCAAATTCGGGCACAATGCGATCGTTACGATGCACGCGACGCAGCTCCTTGTCCGCCGGATCGGTGAGCAGCGCCGTCAAATGGGCGGCAATGTGCACCACATATAAGCCGGAGATTAGACCGTAGAGTGGACCCTGGATGGGCGCATGAAAGGCGGGTATCAGCACCCAATAGCTGGCCAAGCCGAACAGCAACAAGACCAGCCAGCCAAATAACTGCAGCGGATGCAACGGCAACTGGAGTCCATGCAGGCGTCGGCCACGCCTATGCTGCACGTCGGCAATATTATTCTGATAGCTCACCAGCTGACTGAGCCGGCACAAGGAAGCGGCTGCAGCCGGGGCCGAATGCGATGAGCCACTGGCAATGGCAATCGCTGCTGCACTTGCTCCACTTCCAATTCCACTTCCAGTTCCAGTTGCTGCTCCAGTTCCAGTTCCAGTTCCAGTTCCAGCTCCAGTTGTTGTTGCTGCTTGTGTATAGTGCTTGAGGGGCGGCTCCTGCAGCTGCTCCGATAGGCTGGCGGTGCTGATGGTTATTATGTGATCCGTTTGCTCCGGCAGCTGCTGCTGCTGCTTCTGCTTCTGCTCCGACTCCTGCGACTGCGGCGTCGCTACTGGCGTCGCTCTGGACGCGTTGCGCATATTGTTAAGGCTGATGATGTTGATGATATTGAAATTGATGATCGAATGATGCGAAATGTGGAATGCAACAACTGGCAATGGCACATTACAGCTGTTGTTGTTCTTCTTCTTCTTCTGCTATTTGTTGTTGCTGCTGCCACGCCCACGCCCACGCGTATTTATGTAATCCGCCTGCGATTATCCTGCGCGCTGTGCACTTCGTTGTTGTCTGTTGTCACTTTGTTGTGTTTACTGTTGTTTATTGTGTGCGTATGTGTGTGTGTATGTGTGTGTGTGTATGTGTGTGTGTGTGTGTGTGTGTGTGTGTGTGTGTGTGTTTGTTTCAATGGCGCAGTTAACAATCACGCAAACACATTCCAAGGGGGTGGTGCTTATAGGGTTGTCGCTGCGCTGCCACCCCCATACACAAGGACTCTTGCTCTATGATTTGTTTTTTTTTTTCTTTCTATTTTTCGCTTATTTGTTTGGGCTACCCGCACACACACAAGCACAACTCTCACGCACACAACATATATGCACGCACGGCGACAGTGGTGAGAAGGAGAGTGACAGAGACAGAGAGTGAGAGCAATAGAGAGGCAGGCAGCAACCGAAAACGCAACGCTTAACGAACTAACTCGCCAGACGGACGCGAAGCAACTGAGCAACGCGCTGTGCACAAAGCTCTGCTGAAGCCAGCGACTGCCATTGAAAGCATACGGCGCGGCGCGGCGAGGCAAGGCGAAACCAAGCCGAGCAAAGCCGAGCCGAAGCGAACGATTTGAAGTTGAAAGCGAATTGAAAGTGTGCTCCAAAAAAAGCTTTACACTATTGAAAGCAGCCAATATGATGTGATGGGGTTGAAGATGCCAGCAATTGGGAGTCAAAAGGAGGGAGAGAGTGGGAGGGAGAGAGAGAGAGAGAGCAACGTGTCACAGCTGTCTGCTTACCGGTAAAGCGTTTTCGGGCTTAAAGACCGGCCTGGGAAGGCGCACATAAACTAACTATCCCGATATACATATATATATGTGTGTATGTGTGTATTGCTTTGAGGGTAGATTGGAGAGTAGGTGTGGGAGTTAAAGTGAGAAGCTGCTTGTTCTGGAGATGAGCGCGTGACTGTTGACAATTTCGAATGTAAGCGAAAGAGAGAGAGAGAGAGAGGGAAAAATTGTGCCTTATATGATTTCCTTATCTAGTTTACGAATATAACAAATTTTATAAAAAGCTTTAGAAAGTAAACACAACAGCTTAACTCCATAGAAACCAGCTGAAAATGTTCATGAATTTTCTTCAAAGTAAAATATATGATTAATCAAATAAGAATGCCCAACTGGGCTATACCCAAGGACAGACTGAAAAGTTCGTCTTGATCTACTCAAGTATTGTGGCTCTTCTTCTTGACGACTAAAAAACATTATTTTTATCTACCCTTTGCAGATATTGCTAAGAATATTTCACACCCCTTTTTAGAAAGTTCTGTTTATAGGGTATACTAAATTTGTGAATTTGTTGTGGAAAAGTTTACTAAAATAAAACTCTGATTAAAACACAAGGCCGCAAGTCCGTACCCTTAGCTCTACGAACAACACATGTTGTGTGGTTTGCGGCTCTACCTACTATGAGTCGTGGGCACGACTCACGCACGCATCTCTGATTCACCTGGCAAACAGGAAGCAACTATTATATAACGGTAAATGGGTCAGACTAGGCAAGAATTTATCACCAGAGATTGGCACGCACCTTTTGCTTTAATTTTTTTTTTTTTTTTTTTTTTTTTGGTTTTCTTCTTTTATTTTTGTGTATATGTATAGGATGTTAGGCATCATTTTTTATTTATATCAACGCCTGTGAGGTGTGGATGAGACGAGGCGCTGTTTGGACTGTTAGCTGAAATGGAAAGCACACTCGAGAGCGTATTTGGAGCACGTACCAACAGATGCAAGTACTTTCAGCACTCGATGTGATTTTATTTCCATGGCATCCGTGAGCAGAATGCCGCAGACTTCTAGACGCCCCACTCGCCGTCTCACCATCTCACCGACTCACTGACTCATTGACTGACTGGCCGACCTATTGACAAATATTTATGCTGATGTCAAATCTCTCAATGCGAGGTCGCCCAAGATAAGCCCTTATATAAGACACACGAAATTGCCGCTGAGGCAATTCCAAACCAAGCGCGACTAATGGCCGCCAGGACTTGGCACACACTCGTAAAATTCAAACGCAAATTACCAAAACCAACAAAATCATGTATCAATAAAGTCAAAAGAAAAATCTTATTTATTCTGATAAACTATTGAGGAATCCGAGTAAATATTGTACTTTGTGATTGCTGTGCTACAGTGGCTCGCAATGGCTGCGATTTTCTGTTTTTTAAGTTGAAAAAACTATTTCGGTTTCTCCTCAACTTAATATAAGATAATATGTATTAAAAAAGGGTAGAAACTTCTTTGATAATTGCATACTTTAAAACGGGTTTTCAAGACTTAAAAGAAAGTGCAATAAATTAAGCAGCTTTTATAAAGTCTTTGACAAAAGGTTTAATTGAGAAAACAAGATATATTGGTACAAATTATTGAGTGAAAATTTTAAAGCTTTTATCAATTTGAATGAAAATACTTAAATATTGTGTAGGTTCGAAAAAAAAAGTTTAAATAAATTACATTTCATCAAAAAAATGTCGTCTTTTTAGCAAGAATTGATTGAATTTATGGTTGCAAGAAATTGCATTTTCTGTAGTTTCCGGTTCAATGTAGTTCCCTGGCAACAATAACAACAAGAACAAAGAACCACAGAGAGGGCAAGGGAGAGACAGGGAGAGGGGGGGGGGGGGGGGACCCCAACTGAAGTGACAACAACGAAAGCTTTGATAAGCAGCCATAAGAAAACAACAATAAACAAACAACAGCAAAAGTAACAAGTAACAAGCAAGAGGTTCTAGTCGGGAGCTCCCGACTAGGGGATACCCTGAACCCTCTTCTTCCAACAACAAATGCATATATATATTCTATTTTAGAAGCTATATGTCAAGTTTGGTGACTCTAGCTCTTATTATTTACCAAAATTGCCCAATAAACAGGATATCGATATCGATTTTTATCGATTGCTTGGAAACGGAGCAAGTTATCGATTATTGGAAACAAACTCGATCTGCGCGGGAACTAGAAGCATCTACATCTAAAATTTCTCTAGCTCTTATAGGTTCTGAGATCCTTGCGTTCATACATACGGACGGATGGACGGACAGACAGACGGACATGGCTAGATCGGCTCGGCTATTGATGCTGATCAAGAATATACATACTTTATGGGGTCGGAGATGCTTCCTTCTGCCTGTAACATACATTTGGATTTTGCACAAATACAATATACCCTTGTACCCATTTTTAATGGGTTCAGGGTATAAAAAAGACAAACGGAAGCTGTCAGCTTTCAATGTGAAAAGCTTCTTTATCTGAGAGAGCGTAGAGGAGAGCAAAAAGAGAGCAACAAGAAAAGCTGTCACAGTAGGCCAAGCACAGTTATTCAAGTGTCAGTATAAAATTTGAATAGCAGACAGTTACATCTTTCTACTCTTTTGTATGTTAGGTATGTCATCCAATAATAAAAAAATAACTAAAATATTTATAGAAACATATTTCTAGATTTTTTTTTCGAATGAATGTTTGTGGGCATCAAAAAACCTCCAAATTTAATTGGTTTTAACTCAGATCAACACTAAAAGATTTTTTGCATGTTATACACACATATGTGCAAACATGATCGATATATTATCATTGCCGCGCCGCAACAATGTGACCAGCCAGTTGAACACCAAACTGCCCAGCTATAAGACTGGGCTGCCCATCAACAGTCTGCCTGGTTGGGAGTTGATACCGCTTAACTGCAAGTTACCCATGCTTAAGTGTCCGGGTAATCAGGTGATATTCTCAAAGGATAAAATCGGAAACACGGTAAGATATATATACAAGATATTATTATCTTTGGTAAGCCGAAGATTCAATACACTTGTAGACCAAATATCAGTTGATTTTATTCAAATAAGTCAACTTTTATGGGAATCTTATTGCAGCTCCAATCCTATATTTATCCGCTTTTGCGCCTAATTGATGTTAATGGTTATGTCTTGAAAAACAAAAGGGTTTTAAATGGACACAATCTATGGCCATCATGTAGAAATGGTACCCTCAAATATCCTATATAGACATAGGTCAAAACTTCCCACCCCCATAACTTGGTCAAATCTCAACCGATTTTCATAAGGTTTGGCATTTTGTTCATGGTTTGGCCTCATTATCAATTCTGCATCCAAATCTCGCTACATTATTTTTGGTCAAAATTCATGTCAAAATGGTACCTTCAAATATCCTATATAGACATAGGTCAAAACTTCCCACCCCCATAACTTGGTCAAATCTCAACCGATTTTCATAAGGTTTGTCTTTTTGTTCATGGTTTGGCCTCAGTATCAATTCTGCATCCAAATCTCGGAACATTATTTTTGGTCAAAATTCATGTCAAAATGGTACCCTCAAATATCCTATATAGACATAGGTCAAAACTTCCCACCCCCATAACTTGGTCAAATCTCAACCGATTTTCATAAGGTTTGTCTTTTTGTTCATGGTTTGGCCTCATTATCAATTCTGCATCCAAATCTCGCTACAATATTTTTGGTCGAAATTCATGTCAAAATGGTACCTTCAAATATCCTAAGTATTTATATGTATAGACATAACCATAGGTCAAAACTTCCCACCCCCATAACTTGGTCAAATCTCAACCGATTTTCATAAGGTTTGGCTTTTTGTTCATGGTTTGGCCTCATTATCAATTCTGCATCCAAATCTCGCTACAATATTTTTGGTCGAAATTCATGTCAAAATGGTACCTTCAAATATCCTAAGTATTTATATGTATAGACATAACCATAGGTCAAAACTTCCCACCCCCATAACTTGGTCAAATCTCAACCGATTTTCATAAGGTTTGTCTTTTTGTTCATGGTTTGGCCTCAGTATCAATTCTGCATCCAAATCTCGGAACATTATTTTTGGTCAAAATTCATGTCAAAATGGTACCCTCAAATATCCTAAGTACTTATATGTATAGATAGATATAGGTCAAAACTTCCCACCCCCATAACTTGGTCAAATCTCAACCGATTTTCATAAGGTTTGTCTTTTTGTTCATGGTTTGGCCTCATTATCAATTCTGCATCCAAATCTCGCTACAATATTTTTGGTCGAAATTCATGTCAAAATGGTACCTTCAAATATCCTAAGTATTTATATGTATAGACATAACCATAGGTCAAAACTTCCCACCCCCATAACTTGGTCAAATCTCAACCGATTTTCATAAGGTTTGGCTTTTTGTTCATGGTTTGGCCTCATTATCAATTCTGCATCCAAATCTCGCTACATTATTTTTGGTCAAAATTCATGTCAAAATGGTACCCTCAAATATCCTATATAGACATAGGTCAAAACTTCCCACCCCCATAACTTGGTCAAATCTCAACCGATTTTCATAAGGTTTGTCTTTTTGTTCATGGTTTGGCCTCATTATCAATTCTGCATCCAAATCTCGCTACAATATTTTTGGTCGAAATTCATGTCAAAATGGTACCTTCAAATATCCTAAGTATTTATATGTATAGACATAACCATAGGTCAAAACTTCCCACCCCCATAACTTGGTCAAATCTCAACCGATTTTCATAAGGTTTGGCTTTTTGTTCATGGTTTGGCCTCATTATCAATTCTGCATCCAAATCTCGCTACATTATTTTTGGTCAAAATTCATGTCAAAATGGTACCCTCAAATATCCTATATAGACATAGGTCAAAACTTCCCACCCCCATAACTTGGTCAAATCTCAACCGATTTTCATAAGGTTTGTCTTTTTGTTCATGGTTTGGCCTCATTATCAATTCTGCATCCAAATCTCGCTACAATATTTTTGGTCGAAATTCATGTCAAAATGGTACCTTCAAATATCCTAAGTATTTATATGTATAGACATAACCATAGGTCAAAACTTCCCACCCCCATAACTTGGTCAAATCTCAACCGATTTTCATAAGGTTTGGCTTTTTGTTCATGGTTTGGCCTCATTATCAATTCTGCATCCAAATCTCGCTACATTATTTTTGGTCAAAATTCATGTCAAAATGGTACCCTCAAATATCCTATATAGACATAGGTCAAAACTTCCCACCCCCATAACTTGGTCAAATCTCAACCGATTTTCATAAGGTTTGTCTTTTTGTTCATGGTTTGGCCTCATTATCAATTCTGCATCCAAATCTCGCTACAATATTTTTGGTCGAAATTCATGTCAAAATGGTACCTTCAAATATCCTAAGTATTTATATGTATAGACATAACCATAGGTCAAAACTTCCCACCCCCATAACTTGGTCAAATCTCAACCGATTTTCATAAGGTTTGGCTTTTTGTTCATGGTTTGGCCTCATTATCAATTCTGCATCCAAATCTCGCTACATTATTTTTGGTCAAAATTCATGTCAAAATGGTACCCTCAAATATCCTATATAGACATAGGTCAAAACTTCCCACCCCCATAACTTGGTCAAATCTCAACCGATTTTCATAAGGTTTGTCTTTTTGTTCATGGTTTGGCCTCATTATCAATTCTGCATCCAAATCTCGCTACAATATTTTTGGTCGAAATTCATGTCAAAATGGTACCTTCAAATATCCTAAGTATTTATATGTATAGACATAACCATAGGTCAAAACTTCCCACCCCCATAACTTGGTCAAATCTCAACCGATTTTCATAAGGTTTGGCTTTTTGTTCATGGTTTGGCCTCATTATCAATTCTGCATCCAAATCTCGCTACATTATTTTTGGTCAAAATTCATGTCAAAATGGTACCCTCAAATATCCTATATAGACATAGGTCAAAACTTCCCACCCCCATAACTTGGTCAAATCTCAACCGATTTTCATAAGGTTTGTCTTTTTGTTCATGGTTTGGCCTCATTATCAATTCTGCATCCAAATCTCGCTACAATATTTTTGGTCGAAATTCATGTCAAAATGGTACCTTCAAATATCCTAAGTATTTATATGTATAGACATAACCATAGGTCAAAACTTCCCACCCCCATAACTTGGTCAAATCTCAACCGATTTTCATAAGGTTTGTCTTTTTGTTCATGGTTTGGCCTCAGTATCAATTCTGCATCCAAATCTCGGAACATTATTTTTGGTCAAAATTCATGTCAAAATGGTACCCTCAAATATCCTAAGTACTTATATGTATAGATAGATATAGGTCAAAACTTCCCACCCCCATAACTTGGTCAAATCTCAACCGATTTTCATAAGGTTTGTCTTTTTGTTCATGGTTTGGCCTCATTATCAATTCTGCATCCAAATCTCGCTACAATATTTTTGGTCGAAATTCATGTCAAAATGGTACCTTCAAATATCCTAAGTATTTATATGTATAGACATAACCATAGGTCAAAACTTCCCACCCCCATAACTTGGTCAAATCTCAACCGATTTTCATAAGGTTTGGCTTTTTGTTCATGGTTTGGCCTCATTATCAATTCTGCATCCAAATCTCGCTACATTATTTTTGGTCAAAATTCATGTCAAAATGGTACCCTCAAATATCCTATATAGACATAGGTCAAAACTTCCCACCCCCATAACTTGGTCAAATCTCAACCGATTTTCATAAGGTTTGTCTTTTTGTTCATGGTTTGGCCTCATTATCAATTCTGCATCCAAATCTCGCTACAATATTTTTGGTCGAAATTCATGTCAAAATGGTACCTTCAAATATCCTAAGTATTTATATGTATAGACATAACCATAGGTCAAAACTTCCCACCCCCATAACTTGGTCAAATCTCAACCGATTTTCATAAGGTTTGTCTTTTTGTTCATGGTTTGGCCTCAGTATCAATTCTGCATCCAAATCTCGGAACATTATTTTTGGTCAAAATTCATGTCAAAATGGTACCCTCAAATATCCTAAGTACTTATATGTATAGATAGATATAGGTCAAAACTTCCCACCCCCATAACTTGGTCAAATCTCAACCGATTTTCATAAGGTTTGTCTTTTTGTTCATGGTTTGGCCTCATTATCAATTCTGCATCCAAATCTCGCTACAATATTTTTGGTCGAAATTCATGTCAAAATGGTACCTTCAAATATCCTAAGTATTTATATGTATAGACATAACCATAGGTCAAAACTTCCCACCCCCATAACTTGGTCAAATCTCAACCGATTTTCATAAGGTTTGGCTTTTTGTTCATGGTTTGGCCTCATTATCAATTCTGCATCCAAATCTCGCTACATTATTTTTGGTCAAAATTCATGTCAAAATGGTACCCTCAAATATCCTATATAGACATAGGTCAAAACTTCCCACCCCCATAACTTGGTCAAATCTCAACCGATTTTCATAAGGTTTGTCTTTTTGTTCATGGTTTGGCCTCATTATCAATTCTGCATCCAAATCTCGCTACATTATTTTAGGTCGAAATTCATGTCAAAATGGTACCTTCAAATATCCTAAGTATTTATATGTATAGACATAACCATAGGTCAAAACTTCCCACCCCCATAACTTGGTCAAATCTCAACCGATTTTCACAAGGTTTGTCTTTTTGTTCATGGTTTGGCCTCATTATCAATTCTGCATCCAAATCTCGCTACATTATTTTTGGTCGAAATTCATGTCAAAATGGTACCTTCAAATATCCTATATAGACCTAGGTCAAAACTTCCCACCCCCATAACTTGGTCAAATCTCAACCGATTTTCATAAGGTTTGTCTTTTTGTTCATCGTTTGGCCTCATTATCAATTCTGCATCCAAATCTCGGAACATTATTTTTGGTCAAAATTCATCTCAAAATGGTACCTTCAAATATCCTATATAGACCTAGGTCAAAACTTCCCACCCCCATAACTTGGTCAAATCTCAACCGATTTTCATAAGGTTTGTCTTTTTGTTCATCGTTTGGCCTCATTATCAATTCTGCATCCAAATCTCGGAACATTATTTTTGGTCGAAATTCATGTCAAAATGGTACCTTCAAATATCCTATATAGACCTAGGTCAAAACTTCCCACCCCCATAACTTGGTCAAATCTCAACCGATTTTCATAAGGTTTGGCTTTTTGTTCGTAGTTTGGCCTCAGTATCAATTCTGCATCCAAATCTCGCTACATTATTTTTGGTCGAAATTCATGTCAAAATGGTACCTTCAAATATCCTATATAGATATAGGTCAAAACTTCCCACCCCCATAACTTGGTCAAACTCAACCGATTCTCATTAAGGTTCAAAATTAAACTGACAACGGTACCCTTAAATATGTTGTAAATGCATAGGTCAAAATTTCCCACCCACATAGCTCGGACAAATCTTATCCGATTTCCACAAGGTTCTTTGTTTATTTATTTTATACATACCACGGGAAAGGTCGGCGTACAGTAGTACGCTAGTATATCTATATATCTATAATATCTATATCTATAATATCTACCATATCTATAATATCTTCCATATCTATAATATCTCTAACTCTTAATCTAATCTACAAAAAAACTCAGAGAAAAGAATAGAAATTGAATTATAATCCAATGTTATCCTTTTTCGATTCCAGTTTAAATGTAGCATGCAGGAATTTGATTCATCTGTAACAATACACATTCCAGAATATAATCCACTGCACGATTCAAATTTGAAGACTTTCTATTCAAACGAACGGAATTTGAAACGTCTGCGTGAGAATGGGGAAATTACTGATGAGAACGAGGTTATTTGTAATCTAAAGGATTTTAATCAATATCGCGAAGATCTGCACAAGTCGCAGCTATACTATGTGCTCCAGGCGTATAGACAACGCGAGGCAGAGCGACATGATCGTCTCTTGATTGCCAATGCGGAGACCATATCGAGGCGAGATAATTTGCAATCGGGTCTCCGGCATCAGAGTCAGGAGGAGGTTATGTTGCGCAAACAACGCCTGGATAATGAGCGGCACGAGCGCAAGCTGCGTCTGTACAACATAACCGAGGAGAAATTTAAAAGGATGGAGAGCATGACGGCCATGCAGCAAATGTTGCTGGAGCATCGCAAGATGTTGACAAATATGCGGGTGCAGGCGCACATTAGCCTGCATCAGGATCTGCAGCGCAAGCATCTGATCAAGCTGAAGAAGTTGTTCCAGTTCAAGAAGGATCGCTACAACAAGAATATGCGCAATCTGCACAAACAGCGGCTAATGAAGCACACCGAGGGTCAAATCCAATCCTGGCACAAGCGCCTCAACGAACGCATCGCCAATCAGCGGCGCATCGAGCTGCTGCTGATGGAGGTGCAACAGGAACGGGAATATTTCATAGAGAGTCACAAGGAGAAGTACCGTGCGAAATGGCTGGCCATACAAAAGCAGATCAAGGACCGCTCCCGTCAGATAAGCCAAGCGCGCAAGCCCAAGCGCCACAAGAAGAAGAGCAGGAAGATCGTTAAACGCGTACAGCCCACATTCTGTGATGAATACCAGGCCAGCTTTGATGGCCTCCTGGATAGCCAACTGTGCTATGCTCTGAATGCGGCCATTGCCCTTGATGGACACTCGCCGCTGACCTTTGCCCCAGACGATCCCATTTATAAGGCCGCCCAATATATACTCAATCACATATTGCTCGGCTTCAATATAGATCTCAGCGAGGATGAGTGTGCACTCAGCGTTTTGACCAGTCGCATCATGAACTTTATATGCGATGCTAAGAAATATGTTAACTATGTAAGTACAAGCTTACTATTTGGAATTGAATTTAAAGCGGGTCAAAGGGCTATCTATGGCACGCCGAAGAGTTAATACCCTTGCAGACCCAATATTTTCATAATGCTTTACCCGTCTCTAAGGGGCACAGGGAAAGTAGTTAATGCCGAGTATGGTTCTGATATCTTGAAAAACAAAGTTTTTCACACAAGAGTCTCATTTTCGAACGATTGTTCCTAGGACAGCTAAATGATATTGTGGTCCGATGTTGATAGGATTTCACATATATATGAGAAGCAGTGTAAAACTGATAAATGTGGAGTTTGGTCAAGATATCTTGATAAACAAAAAGTTTTTCATGCAAGAACCTCATTTTTAGCCCATCGTTCCCATGGCAGCTATATGATATAGTGGTACGATCCGGCCGGATCGGACATATATATTGGGTGCAACAAAAATAAGAACTTCTGCAAAGTTTTACGACAATAGCTTCAAGACTAAGACTAGTTCCCATAGAAACAGACTGACAGACATGGCTATATCGACTCGGCTGTTTGTATTGATCAAGAAAATATATATTTTATATGGTCGGGGATGTCTTCTATCTAGCTTATGCGGATGGTCATAAAAATGGATATGATCCTATTCTTCTCTTTTTGCAGAAAGCGATACAGATAATTGGCTTTGCGCGAGATAACAAGGCCATGGAGCTGCCGCCGTCGCCGGTGAGGTCTGGACTCTCGCCGAAAAATCATTCGCGCGTGTCGCATGTATCCTTCAGCGGAGTTGCCTGCACCATCGGCATGGGCAGCTATGAGATACATCCGTTTGTCGACGTTCGGCCCTGCTCGGAACGTCGACCAACGCCGGCGGGCTCGCTCACATCGCTGGTGGTTAGCCAGATTGGCGAGCAAGTGATACAGGAGAAGATGCGACTGCCGCACATGAATCGCAATGAGATCGTCTTCATTGAACACTATTTGGTCAAATTCAAGCGGGAGCTGCTCGTGGGCCTGGACAAGCAGGTGTTTGCGGCCATACAGTGTCACTATGAGAATCGCATAATGGAGGTGCGCGAGGAGCTCTTAGAGCTGGACAAGGACTTTTTGTACAATCAAATTGCCGTTGGCATACTAAGCTTCGCCGTAAATCCGCTCAACTATGAGACGGCCCTGATGCTGGCCGTGAGCGTGGTGGCCAATGAAATAATTTGGGGCCTGCAGCAGACGCTGCTCAAGCCGGGCATTGAGCCGCGGGGCATGACCCATCCGACCAGCTGTGGCACCGATCGCGAACGCGAGCAGCGCGCCTTCTGTGCAAGCTAGTTGGCGCCCACGCACAATACACCCACAATATACCCATTCCCGGTCATTCCACATGTATGAGCACAATCTACAGGTCTAGTCGTGTGTGTAGGGCACAAATTTAATGTAAACAAATACATGTAATCTACTTACTTTGTGCAGCGAATATGTCGCGTGTTGTTATTTCACAAATAATTGCACTTTATTTATTTCACTAATCACCAATCACAAAATTGTTGTAAACATTAAACAAGCTACGGCATGGCAAGCAACAGCTGTGCGCTGTGCCAGGGCTGCAATTGCGCATTAGCTTAGCATTCACAATAGCCAACTAGACAGTCACAGGAAAATCAGACAAGCGCCATATTGCTGCGGTTTGTAATTCAGTTCAACTGTCAACTGTAAACAGCAAAGTAAATGTAGAATATTGTTGCGATTGTCACATAAGATTGAAAGAAGCTGTAATAAGTCAGTGTAATTTTTGGCACGTACTTGTCTTGTCTCACAAATTGTAACCTAATTTGTTCTCTAGCAAACATTGAGCATGACAAACGGCAGCGCAATTTGCCAGGGCTGAAGTAGCGGTTGGGCACTCACAATAGACAATTTAATTAACATTCTGTCATTTGAAATGTAGTTCAACTGTTAAGCAAATGTTATCCGTTATCATACATAAAACATATCCCTGAATGATCGTTTTATTGTTTAACATAAAATAATATTTAACAATGTACATATACTGTTTTATTGCAAATCAACGACTCTTCTAAAGGCAATGATTCCGAAAAAATCGTAGAAAATACGTGATGATCTCCACAAATTTGATTTGCCATGAGCTTTATATTAAAATTAGTTTTATGCTTATCTATTCATGTATGTACTTGAACAAATTTACACTTATTTAGGAAAATTAAATGGCGCGCCATAAGGATACATCAGTGAGTTGTATGGCGCCCCGGCGGCAGCCAGCAAAGGAAAGGGAAATGTCGCTGCTGGTGGCATATTTGTGGCCGGCTGTTTGGAGCTCCTTTTCCTCTTTGTTTTGCCCACAGCAGGCTTTTGGTCAGCACTAGATTCACTTGACTCGCTCTCACTGCTGGCAGATGCCTCGGCTTCATCTTCATCATCATCGTCATCGTCGTCATCATCGTCGTCGTCACTTTCGTGAGTTTCAATTTTAATTTTCTTTTTCTGTCTTTTCTTAGTTTTTTTGTTGGCAGTCCGTTTATCCTTTTTGGACTTTGCGGTGGCAGGATTCTCGACCGCTGCAGGCTGCATCACTGGCGCGGAAACCACACCGGCGGGAAACGCAAATCGTTTATTCATATTGAATACAGCCAATTGTTGCATGCTGAACTCCATGAAAGCCTGAAGGGCAATATTTAAATTAGGTGGATTCGGGCAATTCTTGAAGCTGTGATAGGACGCCGAACAGTTCCTGCATATCATCTGGCACTCGAATGAAGTGTGACCCTGGGGACAAACAAAGATTAGGATTCGTGCCAAGATCAAATGCCAAATGCACTTACTTTTTTGTCGCATATGCCGCAGACATGGGTCGCTTTGTCCTTGTCTTTGCCAGTCCTCTGCTCGATATTGTCGTTATCCTTGCTGCTGTCCTCGGCTTCGTCCTCATCATTGTCTTCCTCATCGGGTATTGTGTACTTGCGGCTCTTGGTGCCCATGCAGACGACTTCATCTTCGGATACCACAGTCTTGGCGCTTTTAGACTTCGCTGTGGACTCTTTGACTGACGTCTTGGCCTTAACTGGCGCTGAACTTTCATCGCTAGAGTCCTCGTCAGAGGAAGAAGATGAAGCAGCGGGTTTGGCGACAGACTCGACTATAACCTTAGTCTTCTGCGTCACGGCCGCCTCAGGTTTTTTAGGTGTCGTCGATTTGACCAGCTCACCGGCTTCAACATTGTCATCGGAGCTGCTGGAAGAGCTGTCATCGCTGCTTTCCTCAGGCTTCGGTATGGGCTGCTTGGGCAAAGAGTCTTTCTTTTCCTTCTTTATGTTCGCCGCATTGATGAGCGTAACTGGCTTTTCCGACTCAGCAGTTGCTGCAAGTGTTGGAGTGGCCTCAGTGGGCACTTCTGGAGTAGGCGGTGGTATTGGTGGTTCTATTTGAAGCGTTCCATTGTTTTCATTGCCCAGTTGGCCATTGGTGAAGTGATATATTTCATTTGGTGTGTTGTCCTGGTACCAGTGACCCACTGGCTCTTCATTATGTCGTCTACCACGGCCAGAATTCCTTTCGCTTCTTCCTCCTCCGCCACGTCCATTTCTACCACCTCTGCCTCTTGAATCACCCCTAGCATCTCTCATGAAGTCTGCATAACGACGAGTGTCAACGTTGTTTTTGGGAGTCTGGTTTCTGCGACCGCCGCCGCGACCCTGACGCTGATTACGAACCTCTTGTGGTTGGTTTTGATCTCTGAACTTTGTGAACGAATCATTGTGTTGTCCTCGCCCACGACCGTCATGGTCAAAGCTATTATTTTGATTTTGCCCGTTCCACTGGTCACCGCTATTATTTACATAATGGTAATCGTTTCGACCGGAGTTGTGCTGATTGCCGCCGGAACGTCTTCCTTTGTCGTTTCGCATCTCAAACCGTTGCTCAAAAGACAACACAGGACGCTTGCACGTGCTAAATAAGTATCGATGCTCTGCAGGTAAATAGCATTTATCGATGCTGTAGCTAAATATCGATAGTATATGAATAAACAAAAACCATCAATTAAAATTAACGATTTTGAATTTAAATATAGTGTTTCATTAAACTCTGTCCAATGATAGATGCAAAACAATACAAATTTGGAATTTGTCAACAATATGGCCCAAATAAACCGTATCATACTAAACACCGTAAATATATTTTAAAAAGTTTAACGCTCTAGAAATTGGGGTAAAAAGAAGTTCCCGCCGAAGACAATACAGGATGCTTACACGTGTTAAATAAGTATCGATGCTCTGCAGGTAAAGAGCAATTATCGATGCTATTGCCAAATATCGATAGTAAATTAAAACTCAAAAATCATCAGTTAAAACTAACGATTTTAAATATAAAAATATTGTTTTATTCAACTCTGTCTAAAATCCTATGTAAAGCAATGGTAATTTAAATTTCTGAACAATATTCGACACATATACTGTAACATAAAAAATATCGTAGATAAAGTTAAAAGATATCGATTAAGATAATATCGTTAAAATATTAACGCTTAACAGTTGCTTACATCGCTAGTCGATTCAATTTTTACCAAAATGTTCAAAGCAGATTTTGATAAACTTGAGTCCAAATTTAGAGGGCACAAAAAAGTCATAGATGATCGTTCCAGGAATTGGGGTAAAAAGAAGTTTTCCCCGAATACATTTGCTAACAGAGAACCACCACCCGTCCAGGAAACGGCTCAGCCTTGGAAGCATGTGAAGAATGATATTGTGGATGATGAGCAGGAACAACGCAGTTCCGATCGCTTTTACATGAAAAGTCAGCAGGCCAAGGACATACTGAAGCAACGCGAACAAAACCATCGGCGAAATGTAATCGAAGCTGGCCGCTCTCAAAAGACCACCTGGGAAACATTTGAGGATGATGCAGCTACATCCACATCAAAGACGAAGAATGGCAAAGGGGGCCACAAAACTCAGCCCATGAAAGGGATGCATATAGATCCTGATAATATGACCTTCAAGGAACGCAATTTCATACGTAGAAAGCTGACAAGGGTAGTTATGACAAAAAAGATGGGAACATTGGATTCTGCCATAAGGGACATAAAGAGAAACCACGCACGTCCGCAGAGCAATTGGATACCGAAAGATCCCGAGCAGCCCGTTAATAAGAAAAATAAGTTCCGTAATACCCAAAACAATTAACGCAGTTTTTTTTGTGGGACAAATCAGAAATGTATACACAACATAAGTACTACACACTTTATATAAAAATCATCTTAGAATTAGAAGGAGTATATGTGAATGGGTCTGCAAAATAAATATGTAAACTAAACAGTATGAGACGCATGCTCCAAATGCAATCAACTCGACTCAACCGTTTGCATTGGCCAATTTCGCAATTAGCTGATTGTATTTACTGTTGCCAGTAATGCTCTTTTTGGAGTTGCGCGCCTGTTCCGGCGTATGTTCTAGAAAGTAAATGACAATAAATTCGAGTGTTTGATTGGCTTCCTTGGGGTACATCATGTTAAAGGTATAATAGTAGCAGAGCAATTGGGCAATGATATCCGGCAAATCAGCATCCGCAGCAGCAAACGTGCTCATTATCTTTCCCTCAATGTACACCATTGCCTCGGTCTGGGCGGCCTCTGTGCCAGCAGCTGTGGGCGTATCTGAAAAATATAATAATAAAATAATTAACAAAATGGGTAAATAACTTATCACTGGGATACTCACTGACTAGAGCCACCCAAGGCGCATTTGTTGGATTTATGCGCTGTAGCACATCTTTTGGCAAGGGTCCATTTTGGAGCTGCTTGAAAATGTAGTCGGGATCCTCGTTGAAATGGTATGCCAGGCCTCGCACTATATTCGCATTGTTCTCTTCCAGAGCATTAACTTTCTTATTTTTGGACGTCTTAAAGAATTTGAACATGCGCTCCCGTTCGCTGGCAAAGCGTTTTTCCAACACACGCGGATCAATGGACATGAGTAGCTCGAAGTGCTGATAGAGCAGATCCTTATTGAATATGTACGGCCAGTTGTCCTTGATGGCCGTAATGTCTGGTATCTTTTCGCTATTGTTGAAGAATGCGCGCTGCAGCGGAAAACATTCTTTCATGTACTCGGCAATTAGGGCTGGCTCAACTTTGGCACTGCCTCGATAACTGGAAATCAGCAGCTCCTTTTTCTCCTCCAAATCGCGATTTAGCGCCAATGACTTCGCATTGCCATTGGCTGCCACAGCGCCCGCCGCGCCAAAGCTTGATTTGCGCTTCTTGCTGCCGCTGGTAATGTGTAAGTCTGTTGTGCCGGAGCTGGCACGTTTCTGTGGACGATTCAGCGCATTGTTGCGATTGATCATTTTCGAGATTAGCGACTGTGGCGTGGTAGCAATCTGTTGGCCTTCGCGATCCTTTTCAAGCAACGAATCGGGATACTTTTCTGCCGCCTGCTGAGCGACTTCGCGAAACACCATTGAGGGTATGTGTGAGGAGCGTTCGCGCAACGCATCGACGAGGAGATTGGCCAACGTATTAAGACGTTTACCCAGGCTGGTTTTGCCGCGTAACAGCTTCATAATATCGTTAGGTACCTTCGACCAAGGTATCGAGAACTCCTTAAACGGAGCTGTAGATAACTTTGAATTGCTGGGCGTAACGCTAGCCAACGATAAAGTCTCGTCATTGGACACTGTCGAATCGTTGGCATTCGATACGAAACTGGGATCCAGTGAGCTGCCCGCTCGCTCAGAACGATTCAGCGGCGAGGGCGGAGGTAGTATTACATATTCATCGTTTTCGGCGAGCAGCATGAGCAAAATCTTCTCCTTGGCTGCAAACAGGAGCACTTCATCCTCGCATATCTCACAGCCATTACTCTCCAGCACTATGGTACTGCCAGCCAAGCCATATTTATGTGCTAAAAGGCATATGGATTTAAATTAATTAAATAATTGCTTAACTACACATAGCCAATACGCACCTTTCTCAATGACATCCTTTCTGCTGGGCAAGGACATGAATGTCTTTTTATTCTTCCGATCGGCGCTGCATATTGTAATCAATACCTTTTCCGTGTTCATTTCGGATTTCAATTTCGCTTTCTGCGCCTCTAGCACTTTGCCAGTCTCAACATTGGAATGCATTTCTACAATACAAAAAAAAAACAAAAATAAACAAATTGAAGCTAAACCAAACAACAACATCGCATGTGTGTGTGTGTGCGTGTGTGTGTGTACACACACCCATATACGTACCGGAGCCTGTCGCTGTTTCAGATTTTTTTGCTGCTGTTTGTACACCATTTTCGTTTGGCGCAGCGGCCGCCGGGGCCGGGGGTTGTGGCTGTGGCTTTGACTCGTTTGCAGCGTGCGGCGCTACAGCTGGAGCGGCATCCATGGCTAGAATTATTGCCCGTAGTGTTTAACCAAATGCACAAGGTTTAATTTGAACTCAAGCCTTCTTCTTTTTTTTATAATGCCCGTGTATAAATTTGCACAAGCCAAACTGTGGCCAGGGATGTAAAAAACGCCAAACATCGATATTTTTACCGCGACTCGCTGCTCTGCAATCGATTACAAACATTTTCGATAGCCCGATAGTTCGATAGCGGACGGCTTTGTGGGTGGTCTGCTATTGCAATCGAACGCTCATTTGTTGCTTTCGTCTGCTCGCGGCGCATTTAGGTTTTTATTTTCACTTAAGTTTCTTGCATTTTTCGTGAATTAAATACTCGCTAAGGATTGTTAAAGACAACGCGTTATTCAATCAGCATTGGCTGTGCACACACAAAAACGGCTGCAAAATGCGTTGATTGCGAGATTTTGTTGTAGCCAAACAAGGCGCGACTGTGTCGCCCGCCGTCTGTGCGCCTCAACATTTGGAAATTAATATTCACAAAAGGCTACGCTTAATATATATTATTAGCAAGAAAATATCGCTTGTGGCAATCACATGAATCTACGCATTCACTACAAAATTAAGATGTAAGTATGCAAAAGGCGTCACAGCCAATTACCAGTATAAATATATATGTGTATAAAATTGAATTCAAATCTTGGCCTTTTTTTTGCTTAGGAGCACTCTCACTCTCTGTTGCCTTCTGCTGGCCAGCTGGACGTCGGGCAGCTATGCTAGTAATAACAGTAAATTAAGCACGGGCCCAACGCCCGCCAGCTCCACACAAGTCGATTTGGAGCCCATCAATGGCACCATGAATTATCGGCTGTATGGCAAAAAGGGCAAGGACGATAAGCCCTGGTTTGATGGCCTCGACAGCCGGCATATACAGTGTGTGCGTCGTGGGCATTGCCTGGAGGTCAATAGCACGCACAATACATGCTTTGGCTCCAAGTTACCATATGCCTTCACGAGTCTCAGCCTAACCGATTATCGCAAAGAAAAAGAGCTCGACGAGGCGCTTAGCAGTTACTATGCCCTGCGACATGTGCCCAAGTGCTGGGCCGTCATACAGGTAAGCCAGATGATACACACCTCGATGAGCACTAAATCCCTAAATAATGCTTGTAATTTTCAGCCATTTCTGTGCGCCGTTTTCAAGCCCAAATGTGAGGAAATTAATGGCCAGGACATGGTCTACCTGCCTTCGTACGAAATGTGCAAGATTACCCTTGAGCCGTGCCGCATTCTATATAATACAACATTTTTCCCGAAATTTATGCGCTGCAACGAGACGCTCTTTCCCATGAAATGCAGCAATGATGCACGCGAAATGAAATTCAATGTAACTGGCCGATGTATGCCGCCCCTTGTGCCGGCAGATAATGCCGCCAGCTACTATCCGGGCATCGAGGGCTGCGGTGTGCAGTGCAAGGATCCATTATACACGAACGATGAACATCGCCAGATACACAAGCTGATCGGCTATGGCGGCACACTCTGTCTGCTGTCCAATCTGTTTGTGGTCGCCACATTTCTCATTGACTGGCAGAATGCCAACAAATATCCAGCTGTGATAGTTTTCTACATCAATCTATGTTTTCTCATCTCCTGTTTTGGGTGAGCAGCTCAAAGATAATTATAGATTTCATTAGCTAACTTTCTTTGCTTTGCAGCTGGCTGGTGCAGTTTACGTCCGGCTCGCGCGAGGACATTGTCTGTCGCAAGGATGGCACACTGCGTCACTCGGAGCCGACGGCTGGCGAGAATCTCTCGTGCATTGTGATATTTGTGCTGGTCTATTATTTTCTTACCGCCGGCATGGTGTGGTTTGTGTTTCTTACCTATGCCTGGCACTGGCGTGCCATGGGCCATGTACAGGATCGCATCGACAAGAAGGGTTCGTACTTTCATCTGGTTGCTTGGTCCCTGCCGCTGGTTCTCACCATTACCACAATGGCACTCAGCGAAGTCGATGGCAATGGCATTGTGGGCATCTGTTTTGTTGGCTACATCAATCACCCGATGCGCGCCGGCCTACTGCTGGGTCCGCTCTGCGGCGTCATATTGATTGGCGGCTATTTTATCACACGCGGCATGATCATGCTGTTTGGCCTGAAACACTTTGCCAACGATATCAAGTCCACGTCGGCGAGCAACAAAATCCATTTGATTATCATGCGCATGGGCTTCTGTGCTCTGCTTACGCTGATTTTTATATTAGTTGCAATTGCATGCCATGTCACAGAGTTTCGCCATTCGGCTGAGTGGGCCGAGAGCTTTAGGCACTATATCATGTGAGTATATATATATATATATATATGTTCCATCAACTCTGACTATCTACTAACTATCCCCCATTTGTTCAGTTGTCGCATCAGCTCGGTTTTTGATGAAAACAGCGCCTGCAAGATTGAAAATCGTCCCAGCGTGGGCGTGCTGCAGCTGCACTTGCTCTGCCTGTTCAACTCCGGAATACTCATGTCCACCTGGTGCTGGACGCCATCCTCTGTAGAGACATGGAAGCGCTACATTAAAAAGTAAGTACTGTCAAACAGCTTGTCTTGCAATGGAATTAAGTTTTCTGTGTATTCATTTTGCAGAAAGTGCGGCAAGGAGGTTGTCGAAGAGGTCAAAATGCCCAAGCATAAAGTCATTGCACAGACCTGGGCCAAGCGCAAAGACTTTGAGGACAAGGGTAGACTGTCCATAACGCTATACAATACGCACACCGATCCGGTGGGCTTAAATTTCGATGTGAACGATCTGAACTCATCGGAAACGAACGAGATTAGCTCCACCTGGGTGCATTATTTGCCGCAGTGCGTGAAACGTCGCATGGCATTGACCGGCGTTACGGCCGGCAACACAAACTCTTCCAGCCAAGGAGGTCAGGGCGGACGCAAGAATTCCCTCGACTCGGAGATAAGTGTCAGCGTGCGACATGTATCCGTCGAATCGCGACGCAACTCGGTAGACTCGCAGGTGTCCGTCAAGATAGCCGAAATGAAAACCAAGGTGGCCTCGCGTACGCGACAACACGGCAAGCACGGCTACTCGACCAGCAGCAATAAGCGAACACAGCGGCGCAGAGACTTCATTGCGGCCAGCAGCGGACGCACCAAATACAGCAGCGCTGCTGGGCGAGGACGTCGCGAGAGCAGCACCTCCGTCGAGTCGCAGGTGATAGCGCTGAAGAAGACCACGTATCCGAATGCTAGTCACAAAGTGGGCATGTTTGCCCAGAGCACCAAAAAGCACAACAGCACCAGGCGACGCAATGCGGGTCTAGATCCGAGCATCATCAACGATTTCATACAAAAGAATGGACAGTTTATATTGCCGTTTCTGCAGAACCAGGGCATGACCACCTCCTCGGATGAGGAGGAAAATTCGCGTGCCTCTTTCAAAATACACGATCTCAATGTGGTCGTCAAGCAGGAGCTGAGCGATGAGGATGATGGACCCAAAATACAAGAACTGCCGAGCAATGGCAACGGCAATGGCTCCAAGGCAGCAGCTTTGGAGCATTTCCTGAAGCACATGCAAAAGTCCAGCGAATCGAATTGCAATGGCAATCGACACTCGCGCAACTCCCAGCGCAGTCGCAAGTCACGCAAGGAGCCAACCAAGTCGCATCATGGCCACAAAAGCGCTGATCGGGAGCTGGAACTGGATGTGGATGTGGACTCAAATAGCGATTTTAAGCGCAACTATGCGCGCCAACTGGCGGCAGCACTGGACGTGAATGGCGACTCGCTGAGCTGTTCCTCCGTCGAACTGGACATACCATTGGGCGGAATGCTGCACAGTTCATACAATTCGGGCCTGTCCACGGGCAAGCCCAATTCGCGGAACAGCAAAACCAGCTGCGACGTGGGCATACAAGCGAATCCCTACGATATAGCCACCCATACGCTGCCCACCTATGGCAACGAGGAGCTGCAGCAGGCCATGCGACTGCTCAATGCGGCGAGTCGACAGCGCAACGAACTGACAGCCGAGGATGCCACCGAGATGCAATCCCTGCTCGGTCATTCGCGACATCACAAGGAGCCAACGCTCATGAGTGAATCCGACAAACTGAAAATGTTGCTGCTGCCCTCCAAGTAGAACTGAGCAACTGGAACGATGCATTTACTTAAGTTTCTAAAACTCCAATCTTCCATTTTGAAGCCCACAAAACGAATAGATTACGAATACGAACTACGACTACGAATACTCATAGCAATTAAGTTTTAAAAAGTTTACAAAATCATTTTTACACTAGAATTTATGTCCCTTCTGTGTGAATATATATATATATATATATATATATATATATATATATATATATATATGTCTCTATGTATGATGACTTTAACTAGATCGTAGCTCTATAGTTTTATATAGATGTAAACATGTCCTATGTATGTTGTTTTAAATGTACAAAAAGTCGCCCTTTTGGGCCACAATGCACAACGAAAACGAAACGAATTGTGTTACAAAGTGCCTTAAATGCTTACAATTAAACATTTTGTGACTAATAAATCGATTTTAAATCCAATCTAAAGCATTTATTGTAAAATTATTCAAAGATATGTACAGTTCAAGTTCTGTTTACTTTGGACACTTTCGAGGAGGAGTTTCCTAATATCTAAGCGTCTAGTTTCTTGTGTCAAAAAGTAAAGTAAACAAATACAAATGGATTTTTATTACACTGAACGACGCACAATCGGGTTCGAACCCGAGTCTTTGAAGGCTAACTTGCCCTTTGGAAAGCAATATATAATACAATTTACTTTAACATTAAGTTTAACTGCAGGTCAAATCATAATTCAAGAGAAATAAGCTGCAGACTAACTACATATAAAAACAATTTAACTAAACAAACCTAAACTAAAGAAAAGAACAATAGATATTTGCCTTTTTTAGAGTATCATGATAAGGGTAAGGGTATTTACTGTTCGGTAACCCAAGAGACTGTTCTTTCTATTAATCAATTCAGCCTAGGTTCTTCTTCTCATTGATAATTATGGCTTTGCCTTTTGTATATAAAAGGCAGCTGTGCCGAGAATACTTAAAAACTGAAAGCGGAACCATATACAGAAAGCCAGATAGAAGGTGTGCCACATGATGTTTATATGATATTTATATTTATAAACTCGCCCCCCTCCCCCTCACCCCAGCAATGTTATAAAAATAGCATACAAGCATGAAGGGTCTTATTAAATGTAACAGATGAAAAGTCGCAAGTCCTAGCTAATGTTAGAACAAAGAAACCATAAATGTAACTAAAAAAACAAAAACCTGAGACGTTCCGACTCAAAGGTCGTTGCGTATTTTTAAACTGACCTCTGGACTTGCGTGAGTTCAAACTTGTACAGCAGGTAGCAGGTAGACCGGCTCGACGGGGCGTTCTCTACTTTTCGGCTAGGAACAGGTATGAAGTTACACGAAGAAGAACACAATAGAACATTTCACAAGAAAAGTAGCACTTGGCCGGGCAACTATGAATGTCCGGTGTGGAAGAGGGCAGTTGCAAATAGGTCGAAATTACTTTCTAGGCCAAGTCTAGAGCTGCCGAGGCATCAATTTGCGGACGACCAATCACATGTAATGACAGTGTGCAAAAAAGAGGGAAAAAAAGAACAGTTAGCTGAACGAACAGCTGTTTGCTGAGAAACAGGGCTGCATTGGAAGCTTTGCGAGCTGCCATTGGGCGTGGCGCAGCTCCCACGCAGCATCCGAGTGCAGCTGCAGCACAGTTAGAATTGGCTAATTGATTTACACTAGTTTCAAAAGCTGAGAGTTGGCGCCAAGTTTAAAAACAAAAAAAAAAAGAAAACCTTGCTTATTATTTCTTTAAATTTAGTTTAGTTTATTTTAATAACTCTAGACTTCAATTTACAGTTAAACGCAGGCTCTAAAGTTGTCACTGTGCTTTTCCTTGATATGAATTATGCAATTGATAAATGCTCGAACGTTAATTGGGCTCATCTAATACAATTGAAAAAAAAAAAAACAAATTGCAATTGCAAGTGCACTCTATTGAAGTACTACAAATTTTTAATCGCTATTCAAGCCAATTTCTATTAGGTGTAACATTAGATCAAGTCGTTTTGAAGTCGTGTAAAATATAAGCGAAATTCATGTTTAGTAATTTTGTTGCTGCCGTTGAAACAGACGAGCAGACGAGCAGACGTACAGACTATTGACTACGGGATTCAAAGACACACACAGCCTACTTTGCCTTGCGCTGCGACAGCTTCACTTCCTTGGCCCACACGACATTGTTCAGGAACTCGCCGAGCAGATAGAGAGCGAACGTGAAACCGAGCACGGCCACAAAGAACACAATGCGCTGCGGCAGCTGGAGTACCTCCAGTACCGGATACACCCAGACATTTGAATAGTGCTTGATGATGTGTATCCAGACCAGATAGCTGCCCATGAAAATGGCCAGGCCGGTGAGGCCCTTGGTGCGCGTGGGATAGGCACGATATGATGTGAATATCTCCAGGACAATGAAGACAACAATATTGGTGTGCAGCACATGGTTGAGCCAGCTGCAATGCATGAACACAAAATTTAGTGGGCAATATCAAGGCGCGTATAGCTCGCACTCACCCGGGAAAGACGGGATCCAGCACCTTGGGAAAGACCAGCTCACGATCGATGGCATATAGCGTCCAAAAGGTAATGCCCACATTCAGGGCCACGGGAAACGCCAGCGTGGACATCAGCCAATCCTTGAACTTGCGTATGGCTGGCGGCCGCCTGGGCACCAGCTCGTTTGTGCCCACAAAATCGTTCGCCAGGGAGACAATGTAGTACACAGCCTGTATTATCTGTAAGTACGAGAGAGAGAGAGAGAGAGAGAGAGAGAGAGAGAGAGAGAGAAGCGGTTAAAAAGAATGTGCTTTATATCGCAAGGGGGTTGTTTGGGTGGTTGCAGGGCTGATAATTGAAGTGGATTCAATTGCAGGCACCAAATCAGTGAAGCGTGACGGGCCCAAAACCGGTTATCGTTAAGTGCTTAGGCTTTGATTAAGTTAATACAATGATAATAGACGGGTAGTTTGGGCAAATTGTGCTTTAGTGCTTACCGCATCCAGGAACGTGAGATATTTGAATTTTCCACCAAACGGATGGTGAATTAATTTTGAATCGGGTTCGGTCGGAGTTGGAAATTCAACGTATTTATAATCATAATATATGCCGTACGTAAACTGTACTGCCGCCGTCAAATGCAGTAGCGTACGCAGGGCGCCAAAAACACTTTTAAATAGCGAATGTGTTGAAGCGGTTGAGGCCATTTTTGTTTTTTATATTACAAATTAATTGATTTTTTCACGGCAACGAACAACAGCCGGCCAGCAAAAAACTTGCACTGAAGACAGTTGCCTCTATGTGTGACCGTGGCGCGTAAGTTGTTTGTTATCGATACTCAGCAAGGATTATGTATCGATTATTGGCCTAAGTTTGTGTATTTGGCCACACTGAATGACAGCATGACAGCATGACTTTAAACGAATTAAATGTGAAACATGAACTGTAATTTGTAAATTAAATTTAGAATTTACTAGTTTTCAACTTATCCACTATCTTAGTGCATATATTAGTGTATATTCAACATAGTTTAAAAATGTTAAGAAGAAAGTGTGTGCTAAAGTTTGATGCAGCTTATTTAAGCATTTGAATTCAAATTATTGAACGCATTTCAAAACTTATAACAGTAAGATCTTCTCGTCAGTCAGAGCTGCATTAAAGGCACTATCCGGCTTTTCGTATAATAATATTCTACAACACATTAACATTAACGGCCACTAACAGAAATAGAACGTTAACATTTTTTTCAAATTATCAGACTGCACGTTAACAGCTGCCGTGACTGTGCAATTAACATGTTATCGATAAGAGATAGGGCTGCACTAGTATTTGTTTCGCTTACCGCACAGATAAATGTCAAGAATTTGAATTTGCCAGCAAATGGATGGAATACTGATCTTGGCATATCCAGATTGTGAAAGAAATAGACGCCATAGTTGAACTGAATGACAGCTGTAATGTGTAAAACCAATTGCACCACACGATTAAAGCCTGGCGACGTGGAGCCCTTGTTCTTGGACTTGGATCTTGCCATGTTAAACACACAAAAGTCTACAACATACTGATTAGCCGGCTGGCGAGCGGCGGGCCAGCGACAATCTAAGTATACATATTATATACATACATCAAATATGTATATATGTATGCTGATAACGTCGCTTATCAGCGGCACAAAAGTAAATTCGTATTAAGATTGATACACCGAAATGCAAACATGAAACTGCAGCGGAATCTGAGTGGAAATCAAAATACTTTCACCTAACTCTACACTCAAGCTGTAATCCAATTGAAGGCATGTTATGTTTACATTGCGAGGGCGGGTAGGTGCATGTATCGGCTAAGTATAGAAATTGCCTGCCTGAACAAAGGCTTTTGAATCTGTTGACGGTGCGCAACTAATGCGAACTATCGATTTAATTTCGAGCGCTTTGGAAAGCCGCATCAGAAGGTCAAGGGCCAAGCCCAGCAATGTGACGCACTACAACAAATATAATCGCTAACCATTATTAAGCTAAACCATAATCGATTCGTTTATTTTTGTCGCCATGCGATTTAACAAAATTCATAAATTATTACGTGCAGATATAGAGGGAACTGTCTCATAAGGTCAACATAAAGGGCGAGCTTATAGGTCCAAGGTGAGATAATATCTAAAATAGTAATAAAATAAAAGTAGTTAGTTTCCACCAAGTTTCCACCTAGTTTCCACTTAGTTTCCACCTATTTTCCACCTTGTTTCCACCTAGTTTCCACCCAGTTTCCATCTAGCTTCCACCCAGTTTCCACCTAGTTTCCACCTTAAACTTTGCTTGTATTCTAGGGCTAACAAATTAACATTTACCCATGTAAATAATAATAACTGGCATATAGGTTTTATTTATTTCTGGCTTTCCATCTTGATATATATATATATATAATATAATGAATTTCTATGCAGTTTGTAGTTTTATAGATTTCACCTCGGATATGGCTTTTATTTTACGATAAGATAACGTAAGAAACAGAAACTGGGTTCAAATTCCAGGCTGATAGTTGACAGATAACTTATAAATATTTTCGAAATATAAACTGGGTTTTGTTTTTTCCCACTTATTGCGGGGACATGGCAAAAAAAAGCCCAGGCTAATATAGGACATATAATAGATAGATTATGGTTAATGGGAATAAATGGAATAATTGTCTGGGATATATATATGGAAAGGGGATCTTCCCATTATAAAATCTGTCCTACAAATTGGTGTTTCATTCCTTGGTTTCGGCCTCGGCTTCACTTTCCGAGCCGGAGGACTCCAAATTGATTTCGGTCAGCTCCTGCTCCTCCACGCTGCAGCTGTCCAGTTCGCCTGTCTCCACCTTGGAGGGCACGACAGTTGCTTCGGGCACAGCTTGAGGCCGGGCTGCCTGCTCCGGCTCCTGCTCCTGCTCTGGCTCCGGCTCCTGCTCGAACATGGGATTATTGAAGGCACGATCGCGCACCTCGCCGCTTTCCGCATCGTAGCCAATGACAGCCCCGCCCGCTCCGCCTGCAGCGTTATCGAAGCGATTGAAGAGCAGATTGCGACGGAGAGGGAACTGGAGATGGACACGGAGGCGACGCGGATCGTGTATCCACTGGGGAATGCGCCGCAGATACGGATGCTCCGGCAGAAAGTGGGCGAGCATGATCACGGAGACAACGCCCACAAGCAGCACACAGAAGAGTATCAGCATAACGGAGGCGAAGCTCACGTGGGGATTGTACGGACGACCCGCATAGAGGAGCTTCAGCCCGGACTGCCGGGCCAGCCACTGGCTCTGGTTGCGTCCGGCGGAGAGGCGGCGCATAAAGTCCACGCTGCGCTCGTTGTAGCCACGGCGATCCACGATTATGGCCTGCAGATGGTTGCCCAATGTGGCGGAGCCCACGTAGTCCACGTGCAGCTGCAGCTCGTCCGCCAAATCCTGGCGCTCGATGGCATCCTGGATGAACGTGGTCAGCCTCTTGCGATCCTCCGCCGTGCAGTGCTCGCTGGGCATGTGCATCATGGCGCCGCAGACCAAGCAGCAGGCGCCAAAGGGACGCAGCGGCGAGACGCAGCGGGGCCGTGCACATTCCGGCTCCACGTTCCGGCAGACGGGCTCGACCAGACGCTCGTAATCCTTGTGGCAGCCGCAGAGCTCGCCCCGATAGTACTCCACGGTCACGGCCTGGGCATTGTGGAACAGCAGCTGGCCCAGATCCCGGCCGAGCAGCTCCTGCAGATAGCTCCGGGAGATGGACGAGCCGGCCAGTATAAGCTGGCCCAGGCGCAGATATTGCACGTGCTCCAAGTCAAAGGAGAGCGCGCCGCCATTGCCGCTGATCACCACGTGCTCATCGTCGCAGGGCACGCGCTCCACCTCCGGCACAATGGAGTTGGCGCTGGCAAGCGAGCCGGAGGCGGAGGCGGAGCCGGGCTGCACGCTCCAGCTGCCCGGATCGAACCATTTGCTCGTCTTTGGAGCCTTTAAATAGGCGCGTCCAGCTGCAGTTCCAGCTGCAGCTGCCAGCTCTATGCTGGCGTCCTCGGCCAGCAAGAGGGCGCCCAGGCGCGGCAGCACAAAGCCCGCCGCGGACACCTTTGCCGGCAATGGCAATACGGCCGGATAGTAATCCGGAAATACAATCAAATCGCGTGCACGCGGCAAATAGCCGCTCAGCCACGTGGCAGGATCATCGAATGCGGCGCCAGAGCTATACCACCTGATGGTCGTCGTCGTCTCCGCCTCCAAGGCGAGCAGGGCGAAGATCACAACAATAATTGCCTCCGGCTGCTGCAACATGCTGGGAATGTACCAAATGGCAGACTGAGAATCGATGCGACAATTGCCCTGCGATATGCCCAGCGATGTTCCCCATATTTTGGGGGCGTTCCCTAGCCTCACACCCTGACAGATAATTATCTGCCTGGCACATAAATCTGGCATTCAGCACAGACACACAGTTCCGTACAAATATTTCAACAAGTTCGGTAAATTAACTAGAATTTTGGGTATAATGGGTTTTTTAATTGTTTGGGCTCTAGTGAAATTTGATGGCAAACATATTAACAGAAATATTTCATTTTTGTAAGTCTTATAATCGTGGGAGGAAAGCCATAAATTATGTATATATAACTATAATTGAATTATATGTTAGAAGCTTTAGGCATTTTATATATAATTCAATTATATATGAGCAAATTCTTGGAAATTTTATAAAAATATACGATGCTTTAGGGAAATTTTGTTGCCCTTTGTCAAACGCTGAGAAAAGCTTATGGGGCATTTTTTCCCCTTAAGAAAAGCCAAACAAGCGAAAAAATGCCAACTACTTTGATCTTAGAAGAAAAGGCAAATTTCGAGCCTCAATTTTCCCTACTATGATAAGCATAAAGCTTTAAGCCTTATAAAGCGGATAATCAGGTACACGGAACCGCAGCTAGTTGTCAGTCTCCATAAGACGAGGTAATATAAGAGTATTGCGGTTTTATATATGTATAAGTATTATGCCAAAAAAGGAAATTTGATAAAGTTTGCAAAGAAAAAGGAGCCCATTGGAAAGGGAATTCGGTTAGTTCGGACACACTTCGGCGCGTCAAGTTTATTTGTTGGATTCGCCTTCCAATAAATTTTCGAGTAATAAATTGCACAAAATCAACGAAGGAGACGAACGTGTGTGCCCCAATATATTCCGATTCAGACAAACATATACACACACACACACTCATATATAAATATATATGTGTATGTAAATAACTCAATCTCAGGGCATTACAGTGCAATTGTTTGGCGAAAAAGAATGAAACAAATTTGGATTTATTTTCATTTCAATACGGGCGTTATAAACAATTGAGGATTTGACGGAAGCCGAAAAAAAAAAACAACCGGATGGTAATGGTGCGTGTGCATGACCCGGTCCGGTCACGGCATGAGTTCCACATGAAAGCCATTTGCTGAAAAGTGAAAACAAATAACAGAACCCAAAAGAAAAAAAACCCAACTCGAGTCTGGATATACATACATATATTTGTTTGGCACTATCTCTTATATTTCCCGAAGATCAAAGAATTTATCGGGCATATAAATCAAGGGCGCGCAAGGTCGTCAAAGACTGGACGTAAACGCAGGCTGGCAAATAATGTTTAGAGATAAGAAGAGTTAAAAAAAAAACATTGTTGTGCTTTTTTAGTTTTTATTTCAAAGCATACTCGAGTTCAAGTGCTGAACAAGAAGAAGAAGAAGTAGAAGCACATGTTTACCTTATGTACAAATTAAAAGTAAAAACACGATCCACAGTAAGTAAATGTCCCAACTTAACTTCAAGCTTCCTTAGCTTATCCAATACTCAAAGAATTTGGATAACAAAGAATACTTTGATTATGGTTTGTTCCTTAGATCAATTCCCTGTACCCATAAAACATCCCCACCAAACCTAACTTTTCCAAAAGGGAACAGCTTTTTGTATGGGGATGGTCATGGTTTGTCCCCTACTTAATGCCCTTTCTAAACATAAGACTTTCATAAATTATCAATAATTAAAAAGAGTTGAACAACAAAAGATATTTTTGACATAGTTTGTGCTCTAGATCAATTCCCTGTGCCTAGTAAATGCCTCTCATCAAACTTCCATAATTCATCGAAAACTTTAACGATTTTGATAACAAAGGATATTTTGGTCATGGTTTGTGCTTTCGATTAATTTCCTAGTAAATATCCCTAAAGGGATACCCTTTAATAAAACTGAACTGATACCGATTATTGAGGACATTTGGATCGTGGTTTGTTCTCTAGTTGAAATATACAATTGGATTTTTTTTTTGTAATATCGTGTATCGTGTCCCCTCGGACTTTGGATTTGGAATTAAAGGCAAGAAATATGGACTTTTAAATTGTATCAATTTTTGCGGGCAATTAATCAATCATTAATCTGACAGTCAATCAGGCAGTCAGTCAATCAATCTGGCCCTCAGTCAGCCATGACTACATTTTTATTATAAAGAGATATATCACAATATTGTATCTATTTATTATTAAATCCAAGTCAATTACTAATTCCTTATCGTAGGTTCATGTATCTGAAAGATTTATTCCTTTTGATTAATTTGGACATTTTGCTTGTCAAGTACCTGTGAAAATTGAACAGATGATCGAATACCCAGTATATTTTACGACATGTAAATGAGTTGGCCGGCCATGACCGTTGCCCCCGCACCCGCTCCCGCGCCCACAGCCTGGCCATGCTCCAAATGAGATATTTACATTCACGCCAATAAGATAATCTGGCATCCGTCAGCGCCAATAAAATCGGGCACGAAGCTGTTGGACGCCTTTTGTTTTGGCCCAATTTGATTTGTGGCCAGCTTTACAATGCAATAAAAGCGAAAAGAGTTTTTCGCCGTGTATGTATATTTTCTTTTCGGATATTTCGCAAAGAATTTCACACAGTGCAAATAAATACTGCAAATTATACGTGGCGTTTTTGCGGTTGTGTGTGTGTGTGTGTGCGTGTGTGTAGGTGTGCGTGTGTGTAACACTTTGCAGCGACAACAAATGAAATGGTTAATGGAATGAATGGAATTCAAGAATGTATCTGCAAGATACGCGAGTGGCGTTTACGGATGCAGCCAGGCACAGTTGTTGACCCCTCGATAAAAAATTAAATCGACGCAGCCGACAAATAAACAAACATATGGCAGACATAAATGGAAGACAATAATAAAAAATTCAATGTGCATATACCCTGGAGGCAATAAAAAAAATAAGGGGAAATAAGGACAGGCAGACAAATAAATAGTATGACAGTTATCGATAGATGCCAATACATTTAAGTAATCGATAAATAACGCCTTTAAGCATAGCTTCGCTTTTAACTTATCTAAGCAGATGTTAGGGCTAGGAACTTGTTGGAACTAAATTTGTCTGAAACTGCAGTTCATGACAGGGTATCTGCTAGTCGATCAGTCGATGGTTTTTTATTCACCACGGGATCTGGAACACACTTGAAACGATTGCGTACGCCGCATTACCGTCATATTCATAATGACCATGATATATGTTCATGCACGATATTATTATTTTTGGTCAAGAGAAAAGGAAGAATAAAATGAAGGCAATGCTTGTTAACTTACCAGCGACCAATAGCTGAGAAATCGCAGCTTCTGGCCAAAGGTCTCGGGCACCAGGCGCCGACTGAAGCTCGTCTTGAGCTTATAGCTGCGCTGCACCTCGAAGCTGCCGTAGTACAGGCCATAGGCGAACTGGCCCAGCGCGCACAGGTGTATGATTGTCACAAAGACCCGAGACTTGTATAGCTCCACTTTGGTCATTTTGTATAAGTATCTCTCTCTCTCTCTCTCTCTCTCTCTCTCTCTCTCTCTCTCTCTCTCTCTCTCTGTCTGTCTCTCTCTATGATCTACGAACTTGGGTAAACTGTAAGAACTTCAATTTGTTAGCCAGCGAGAGAATTTTAAATGCAGTCGAATCAATTATGAACAGCCCCAAAGGTGTCGCAGGACTTGAAGACCTGGCAAAGGTCGCAAGCATACGCAATGCAAATCAATATTTACGCCACACTGACATAAATATTCAAAACAAAATAATGAAGAATGAAAATGAAACCTGGCCAAGGCAAAATGGGAAATTTGAAAAATTCACAAATTGAAGTTTGCCCGCGTTCGATGTTTATAATTTTCAATATGCTAATGGATTTTATGGCTAGTTGTTGATTGTTGCAAATGTCTAGAATTTTAAACAAATCTTCTAACACACGACGACGGCCAGCACGCACGCACGTTAAATGTTTGCCTTTTTATATAGTTCACTTGTGTTTTTCTTTTTCTTTTTATTTCTTTTGCCCCGTCTGTTGCTCTTGTGGCGCGCACAACTGAGCGCTGGGAAAACTGGAGTCGCACTGGCGATTGGTGTGTAAAAATGTTGCTCATACGCCGCGTTGGCTGTTTGTCGCTTTTACTTTCCGTTCACACGCACACACACACACAAAACATACAGTTGTCTGTTGTACTTGTGCTGTTGCTTCGCATTGCGTGCATCATGATGCGCATGTCCAGAAATTCCAGCTGCGTTGGGTCACGGGCCCAGGCGTTGCTCTGGCAGCGGGTCAACGCGTTTCTTTGGCCAAACACAACAGTTGAGTGTTGCACATCAACTGTGCAACTGTGCAACAAACACAGCGATAGGCAATGCGTCAAACTAGCCAAGAGATAGCAGCTTGTTCAAACAAGCGCATTTAAATCGATTGAATGGCGCGCTTGTTGCGTTATCGTTATCGCACATTGTTATCGAAATGCTGTTGTGCTCAGCAGCCCTGGTGCTTTGTTATGTCTATCGGCCATTTTGAGTAAAGTTGGCAATTATTTTAATAATTGTTAGCGAAAACGCTTGGCTGATGCACAAATTGAGCGCTAAGTGCTTAATTAGCTAAAAGCGACAAGTAAAATAACAAATAAACAAATGAGAGCACAAATGTAGCGGCGTTTGTTTTGCTATCAACTTTCTCGTTAGTTGTGGAACTTCAATCAAAGCTATGTCGTAACAATTACTTAGCCAATTTCGCATTCAACCACATTTTGAACAAAATTCAACAATTCGCAATTGGGCAGTTAAATCGGAAGCATGTCGTTGGCAGCAAAGGTCACGTTGAGTTTGGCGGTTTGCGTCTCGAGCGCCATTATAGGTTATGTCCACTATAAACAGTCGGACGACCGGTAAGTATTCCTTACATTCTTCTATAACAAGCTTGACTCGAGACTCCTTTGCAGCTACAAGCTGCATCAGGGCGTGCTGCGCGATGTGGAGCAGCAGCAGCGACGCAAGCACGAGAACAGATACAATTTGCAGCAACAAATCGACATGACCAAACAGTTGAAATCGGCGCGGGACAAGGAGACGGAAGCGAATGAGGACGAGCCAGACGCCGAGCCAAACGAATCCCAAAAGGCAACAGCAGCCGCAGCCGCAGCAGCAGCTGCTATAGATGCAGTTCTGCCAGCCGCTGTGCTTCAGACACCGCTTTAGTCGCGCCTAAATCTAATTAATGAACTAACCAAATATACATGTCCATGATTATGGCAAGACGTTGTCTGTTTAGCTATATCTTTATAATTATTACTCAATTTTATTATTACGAATGTGTGTATAAGTAATTACAATTCTAATGGGCGCTCGATCAAATAATTCACATCGTGTCACGGCTGGTTTGTACATTATGTGTGGCGGACAGCCCATGCGCTAAATCATAAAAAAACAAATGTCGACTGTGAAGAGTTGAGAAATACACGACGATACTGCGGCGTTTCGTTTGTCCCGTTTTCTCACATTGCCACCAATAACGTAGTTGATAGTCCGAAGTCCAAACAAAATTTTGGACCATTAATACCGACCTCCACCACCACCACCACCGCCGCCGCCTCCTCCTCCCCCGCCACCTTTGCGTCTATCACGATCGTTGCCATCGCGATCGTTGCGATCTCCTCGATCGGTGCCGCCGCCAATGCCACGCTCGCCACCACGATCAGTGCCACCGACAATGCCACGCTCGCCGCCGCGGTCTGTGCCGCCGCCAATGCCGCGCTCCTCACGTCGACGGCGCGGCGAACGACTGCGCGAGCGACGCCGCGGTCCACCGGAGCGGGAACGTGAACGCGAACGATTGCGACGCCGGCGCGAGTATAGGTACCTCCGCAACTCTCGTGATATGGGCTTCAGGTGCATAAAATTGCAAAAGCCGGATCTTGTGCATTCGCCCATTTCGTACTGTCTGCAGCAGGCCTCACGGAAATCGGTGACCGGCGACAGTTCCGAATAGACGGGCCGTCCACCAAACCAGCGATTGTTCAAATCATTTGCCGCCTTCTCGGCGTCGGCCTCATTGCGGAATTTGATGTACACATTGCCGACTAAATGGTCGCCCAAATTGTCGCACACGTTCATCTCCTCAATTTCTCCGTACTTGTCCTCGCACTCAACGAACACATCCTCAAAGAAATTGTCATAATGCTCCTGCATCTCCTCGTCCGAGACGTTCGCAACCAAATGTGACCCATCCGCCGATTTAGCCGAGTTCTGCGGATTCACGTACAGATTCTGCAGCAGCACAGTTTGCGAAAATGTCGGCTTGTTGTGTATGCGGGAACAGCGGTCGCCATGCCGGCACGCTCCGATTTTAAAGTAAAACGAGCAGTTGACTCTACAAATAGCAATTGGTTTTTTTTGTTTTCGTTTTATTTTTTTTGTTTTTTAATAACAATGTTTGCATGCCGCAAAAGTACAGAAGGAACATGCGGCCTTTTTTGTTGGGGGGGATTTTTTAACTTACTTGTCCTTTTCTGTGCCAAAAATAGATGCCAAATATTCGGCCATTACGCTGCTGCTGTAATGGGCTGCTTTTTACAACGATTATCTTCGCTTCGTGCCGTTTGCAGCGAAATTGTTCAACGTTGCTCCTCTATATTTTGACAAATATTTGATATTAATTTTACCAGCCGCACGCAAAAAGCAGCGTCTGTCGTATTTTGCGACAATGTTGCCAGCTTGAAAAAAATTCAAGTAAGCTGTTCAGCGCTGCCAACCTGCTTGCCCGATACATAGTAAATTTAACAAAAATCAACACGCAACCTAATTAAAAGTATTTGAACAGTTTTTTTGTGTTATGCAACAATTTCAAGCATTTTCAACATACTTTCATTAATTTCTATTATAATATTGGACTACCTACAGTCTGGCAACCCGCTTTTAATTGCACACCGTGTTGGCAACGCTGCGCGTCTGACATTTCTGTGCGAGAGCAAGTGCGAGAGCACGAGAACTGAGCGAGGCACGACTCATGCATTTCTAGAAAAGTCCGACAGCGGCATTTTTGCAATTTCAGCTCACAACTTTGCGTGGTAACGACGTGTTTATAGCAACATCTAAGACTTTAATCAGTAAAGCCGAGGTTCAAAATCGCATAAAATGGACAAGGTTGGTAGCACACTAGTTGGCAAATATCGAAATGGTCGGAACAAAGCAATCTCATCTGGGTACATTTGCCCTACCGTCATTGCAGGTGAACGAACTAAAGGAAAAGGGCAACACGGCGCTCAATGCCGAGAAATTCGATGAAGCGATTGCTGCATATACAGAAGCCATTGCGCTGGACGCCAAAAATCATGTGCTATTCAGTAATCGGTCGGCGGCCTTTGCCAAGGCCGGCAAGTTTAGGGAGGCCCTCGAAGATGCTGAGAAAACCATCTCTCTGAATCCCACCTGGCCGAAGGGCTATTCACGCAAGGGTGTTGCGGCCGCTGGTCTGCGTGACTATATGAAGGCCCTGGAAGCCTATAATGAGGGTAAGTTGTTTTAAATAACTACTACTTATACTTCCCTTCCCGCAACAACATAACCTCACTAATAATGTGCGTGTGTGTGTATGTGTGTGTGTGTGTGCCGCCTCCAGGCTTGAAGCACGATCCGCAAAATGCGATCCTATTGCAGGGCTGTCAGGAGATAACTGCATCGGTGCTGAACATGATGCAATCGCAGGGCGACATACCCATGGACGTTGATCCGCAGTCGAGCAGCCCTAGTTTTGAGAGAAAAGCGCCGCCGTCCAAAAGCTCGGAACCCCCAAAGCCGGCTGAGCCGCGAGTGGAGGATATGAGCGAGGAGGAGCGCAAGAAGTACTTTGCCAAGAAGGAAAAGGAACTGGGCAACGCGGCCTATAAGAAGAAAGATTTTGAAACTGCCCTTAAGCATTATAATGCTGCCATCGAGCACGATCCGACTGATATCACGTTTCATAATAATATTGCGGCCGTTTATTTTGAGCGCAAGGAGTACGATGAGTGCATTAAACAGTGCGAGAAGGGCATCGAGGTGGGCCGTGAGAATCGTGCTGATTTTAAGCTAATTGCTAAATCCTTGGCTCGCATTGGAAACACCTATCGCAAGCTGGAGAACTATAAGCAAGCGAAATTCTACTATGAGAAGGCCATGTCTGAGCATCGCACACCGGAGATTAAGACCTCGCTGAGCGAGGTTGAGGCAAAAATAAAGGAGGAGGAGCGACGCGCCTACATTGATCCAGTTAAGGCCGAGGAGGAAAAGGAAAAGGGCAATGAGTACTTCAAGAAGGGCGATTACAGCAATGCTGTTAAACACTATACGGAGGCCATTAAACGTAATCCCGATGATCCCAAATTGTACAGCAATCGGGCTGCCTGTTACACAAAGTTGGCCGCTTTTGATTTGGGTCTGAAGGATTGTGATACTTGCATTAAGCTGGACGAGAAATTCATCAAGGGTTACATACGAAAGGGAAAGATTCTCCAGGCAAGTACATTCAGAGCGAGTTTTTACGACAGCTAATGGTAATCTTTGTCAATTATTATAGGGCATGCAACAAACCTCAAAGGCTTCCTCGGCGTACCAGAAGGCGCTTGAATTGGATCCCAATAATGCCGAAGCAATTGATGGATATCGCCAATGTTCAATGAACTTTCAACGTAATCCGCAAGAAGTGCTCAAGAACGCCATGTCCGATCCGGAAATACAGCAAATTCTCAAGGATCCGGCCATGCGCATGATACTCGAACAGATGCAAAACGATCCAAATGCGGTCAAGGAGTAAGTTATATAAGCACCGAACACTCAAATGATTTATATTAACTTCTAACCTTCTTTACTCTATTTTTAAGACATTTACAAAATCCAGCCATTGCCGACAAGATAATGAAGCTGCTGGAATCGGGCATTATACAGATACATTAGAATTAGCGAAACCCTAGAAATCGTGAAATTGGAATAAACAACAACCAAACAAATCGCTAACATTCAGAAGACACACATAATACAACCGATATGCATATACAATGAACGCACTTCTATGTCGCGGTGCGCTGCCACAAAACTAAATACCATGTTGAACCTTAATATTTCTAAATGAGAAACTACCTTGGATATCACCGCAACGCTGACATGACTATAAATTCACTAAAGAAAATATGAATGATTGAAAACCAACTAAATACAAATACTATTTGTTTTGCAATGTTTGCTTAGTTTATTTACGCAGACGCCGCTGGGATGCCCTGGTTTTTAATTTCATACTACATAATATGCTGTAGCTTAGCTCTAAAAGTATAAGTTTTTTGAATGTAAAATAAATACAAGTCAAAGAATGGTAATTGTATATTATAGTAACTGCTCATTCAATTCTTTAATTTGTCAAAAGCTTTCTAAAACACTCGAGATTTAATCACACTATTTATTTCAAACAGCTTTTACACAACATTATATCTTATATTAGAGTACATAAAGACAAAACGGTACGTTCCAAAGTAAATAACAATTTTTTCAAACTAAAAACCAAACATATTTTTTATTTAGCGCAAATATGTTGATTACAGGCGTTACACAATACGGGAATGTCGAAACTAGTTATTGTGCTAGCCACTTATTTGTTCAATTTTGGTAAGAATGTGTTACAAATTGTTTTATACGGATCGATTAAGAACGGTCTGGCTTGAAGAACTATATATATAGATACTGCAAGCTAGTTTAGATCTTTACATTTTTTTTTGTTGGAATAGTCTTAGCTCTAAAAATCCACGCCATACTATTCTTTGGATTCTTTTACTTGGTTATTCCATTATAGGAAGTTCGAAATTATTCGGCTAGACCGTTAAAAAGTCGAAATATGGCTGGGAAATACCAAAGCATAAAATGTGGTCACTCATTTTGCGATTTGATTGGCATTTTTTAGTGCGTTAACCAAAAAGTGTTGAAAAGCGAAAAATGGCCGCAACATGCTATTCAGTGCCAGTGCCAATGCAGTGTTGAGGACGATTTCTTCCACAAAAAAAAAAGAAATGGTGTGCTGATTGTGATTTGATTATAAATAATAAGAAACTACAAATAAACGAACGCGTTTAAAACGATTTAATTGCAACGAACAAGAAGTAAATAAAAGGCCTTTTTAACTACCGATTCCTGCACGCTGTTAATTGTTTTAACTATAGTTTATATGTATGCTTGTGTGCATGTGTGAATTCGATTGTGTGTGCGCGCGTGTGTGTGTGTACAAGTGTGTGTTTGCCTGCGAGTTTCTCAGTCGATTCGCGAAATTGAGAATAGAAAGATGGTGCTCGCTAAATTGTAAGCGTGAAATAAGTCATATATAAATATACCAAAAATAAAAAGAAAAAACAATTTTTTTTTTGGCAAAAAGTGGCAACAAAAATTCCAATTAATAGTGGGAATCAAACGCAAATTCAAAAGTGAGTATACAACATAAGAAAGGGCTAATGCCTAACGTATTCGCTTTTCAAATGCGTTTCGGGGGCGCTTGGCAACAAGCAAAAGCCGCTACGCACACACACACACACATCTACATATATACATGTATATATATATATATGTATGCATGTAACCATGTGTGTGTAAATATGTGTATTAAGCAGCAGAAACTAAAATATGATTTCGCCCTACACCAATTTTCCGCGTGCGCTCCCCGTTTTCAGTGCATCCCTCACCGCTGCACTACTCAACGATGAGGCCACAGGCGCCGGCGTCTATGGTGCGAGATTCCAAAAAGGATGAGCTACGCTCTGCCCCCTGGTATTGGGGCAGCATAACCCGCGAGCAGGCCAAGAGCATATTGTTTGGCCAACCGGACGGCAGTTTTCTGGTGCGAGATGCTCAGGCAAAGGTAATTGATTATATAGAAAATAATATCGTAAATATATACATGTGTATATAATTATTTATTTGACTTGCAGAAGGGCGAATACACATTGACCCTGATGAAGGATGGCAACGAGAAGCTAATCAAAATTTGCCAAATGAATGACAATTACGGTTTTGTCGAAAACTTTCAATTCAGCTCGGTTGTGGACATGATTAACCATTATACGACCAATTCCCTCAAGATGTACAACAAAACGCTGGACATAACGCTCAGTTATCCGATGGTCTGCCCCTTCTACGATGAGGCACAGCCGCAGGGTGATTTACGTGTGCTGAGCGAACAGTTCATTCGCTGCTCCCAATTGCTGTTGCAACAGGAACAGGCGCTCGACCAAAAGAAGACCGCATTCAATGCCATACGCGAGGAGCTGGCCGAAAGGAAGCTGCAGCAACGTGTCTTTGGCAATGCGGAGAACATGTTCTTCCGGCAAATAGCGTTAATTGAATCGTATATGATTAAGCCGCCGGTGAATGCAAGCGGCGGCTCGAGTCCAGCGGCTGCAACGGGCGGCAGTGGGGCATGTTCGCGGCAGGATGTGCAACAGCATATGCATGAGAATTTGCTGCACATGAAGGAGCACCTGAAGGTGATGCACGCCAAAATGGAGCGACTCAATCAGGATATTAAGGCGCGCAAAGAGGAGGAACAACTGCTGGAGCGTCAGATCAATGCCAGCAAGCCGGAGCTACAGGAATTGCAGTTACGCAAGGACAAGCACATTGAGTAAGTGTCTAAAGAGTCAGCCGACAACTGACGTCATTCATTATTAATATAATATATCTATATCTATATATACATATGCTTCTTTTGAAGTGCCAAACTGATTAGCGACGCGTCAGCGCAACAGACAGCCCGACGGTTGCACTTCAGCCCAGCTACAGTTGCGCAGCGGGTCGGGACTGAGCGAGGCGGGGGGCTTTGGCCAGTCAGTCAGCCACTCGTTCGTTTCATGCTCAACGGCTGCATACATATATATATATATATATATTTATATATCATATATACTTTATATATTGTCCAATGCAATTTCGCCAACCAAGGAATTTAAATGCTCTGGGTTCTGCCTGCTCGCTCGACTCTCGGCCATTTGGCTGCTTTCTTGAGCTCCCATCCGCTGCTGCCGTCCTCTGCTACCGCTTTCCGTTTGACCGATAATAATAGAAATAAAACGCTTTTTGCCTTTTCGCAGCGTTCGTCTGGTTTCGGCTTGCAATTCGCCACGCTGACTGGGCTACGTGCTGCCCGCATGTAATATATACCCTGTGCATTTTCGATGATGCGTTCTCCCCCCTCTCCCCCATCTCCCCTTTAGCCGCAACACGTCCCTAAGCCAACGACAATTATTGATAAGCTTACCAAGCAGTTGAGGCAGGCAACCAGACAATGCATTTTGTATATCTATCCAAAGCACAGTGAAAGGTGACCTAATGGATGAGCTTCTCCCTTAGCTGGCCGAAATTTGTAGTCTTCTTCTAAGAAAGTTTCCTTGCTCAATGGACGCTCAACTTTTTGTAAAAAGAAACTTTCAATGTAAACGTTCGCTCCAGAGGAGTTTTCACTGTATGTGCATATATATATATATAAAAGACATTTATATATAAATTGAAATCCCTCTCGTTTGCCGCTTGTAATTCAAATCCGCTAACAAAACACATTTCCAAAAGCCCCCGTTGACAGTTTTACACGTTTTCAAGAATACGAATGAATACCTCAAAATGTATGCCAAGCGAATTATTGAGAATCATAAATTTTATTTTCTGCTTTTGCACAGAAATCATAAATATTTTAAGTGCTGTCAGACGGCAGTCAAAACAATATGTTTCGTTTTTGTCGCGTTCCATAGTTGTTGCTCTTGCAAAAGCACATTGAAAGCTTTGAAGCTTTTGATTAAGTGCGTTTGTTCGAGTAAGGCTTAAAGCTTAAGTTCGAGCTTGAGCTGCTACTCAAAAGCACATGAAAGCTTTGAATCTCGCTATTAAGTGCTTTTGTTCGAGTAGAATGTAGAAGACTTAAAGCTTAAGTTCGAGCTTGAGCTTTCGCTTTCAGCTAATCTCGTTTACTCAAAAGCACATGAAAGCTTTGAATCTCGCTATTATGTGCTTTTGTTCGAGTAGAATGTGGAAGACTTTAAGCTTAAGTTCGCGCTTGAGCTGTCGCTTTCAGCTAATTTCGCTCCACAGTTTTTGCCATTGCAAAAGCACATTAAAAGCATTGAAGCTTTTGATTAAGAAGACTTAAAGCTTAAGTTCGAGCGGGAACTGCTAAAGTCGTTGCAGCTAATTTCGTTCCACAGTTTTTGGCTTGCAACAGCACTTTGAAAGCTTTGAAGCTTTTGATTAGGTGCTTTAGTTAAGTTAAGCTTAAGCTCGAGCTTGAACTGTCGCTTTCAGCTAATGTCATTGTGCTAATAACACTTAACGATATGCCTTAGATTCGTCATCGATGATGATAATGATGATGAAGATAACGTTAATTAGTCAAGCCTTGAACCATTTTAGAACTGTGCCCTAACACACATACTAACTTTCGCAACGGTTTGTCTACGCTTGCTTTTATCTTTATTAAATCTCGTCGTACTTTTGTTTTTTTTTTTTGTGCACACCTAAAATACAAACTAAAACTTGACTCTTTATCAGACCACAGACTTCACTAAACATCTGTTGCTTATCTGCCCGGGAATCTCACAAGCTTTTTTCTGTTGGCCTTGCAAACGAAATTAAATATCTGTCGCAAAATGTGTTAAGTACCCAATGGGTATATTTTTTGCAGAATTACACTTATTTTCTATAAAAATGTAAAAGTCAGCCAGAGCCGAGCACAACGATTGGCAAAATAGGTTTGAAGCAATTTTGGTTGTTTTCCATTGCTCAAATTGAGTTTTTATTTGAGCTAGCTTTTGTTGTATTACGTGTCTCGCCCTGTTCTCAGCATGTGGTCAACATCTTGTTAAATATCGGACTACTCCATTTAGCCCTGGGAATAAAAGGCCGAGCATACGAGCTGTGTATCGTATATCCGCCAAGGAATTCAATTTATGGCTACCGAAAGATAACAATTGCTTTTGTTTTATCTATGCTATTTCGCGCTCTAAGATTCTTTCCAGTACAAGAACACATTTCTCTCTTATCTATACGAATATCTTACAGGTTTTTATTTTAGGCTCGTAGCTCTAGTTCGTTTATCTTAAGGGTCCCTGGCAACTAGAGTCTTGTTCAAGCGACTTCCCTTTCATTTGAACAGCTTTTTTTTCTTGTACCCTCTGCTCATAGAAATTGGGAGGCTTTTTGTGCAAAAGAGGAAAAAATCCTATATATATTCTTAAGTTGGTTAAGATCTAAATAGATCTGTTATAATAGATAGATACTTTGATTCTTAAATGTGTGAAATATTCGAAAGCTTCTTCCATGAAATCGATAAAAATCGATAGGAGAGTTCTATTTCTGTTGCTTAAGACAACAATTGTGGTATTTCGAATATTGTAGGGTACAAACAGAGAAGAAAGGGAAAGTGAAAGTGTATATATTCTTGATCAGCATCGATAGACAAGTTGATTAAGATCTAGATAGATCGATGATAGATTCGGTGACTTCTTCCCTAATCTCGAAATCGTTAAAAATCGATGAGAAAATTCTATTTGTGGAGCACATCTTGACGCTTCACGTATTAAAGACAACAAATGTGGTATTTAGCATCTTGTACAGATCCAGAATACTTTCACTTGTGCCTCCTAAATTTATAATTTATAAAAGGAAGCTAGAGAGGCAGCTCGTCGCTAGTTATAGGGTATGTTCTAGTCTGCTCTGGCCTATATACACTTGTAGAAGGTATTATGCAGCAGCAACAGCTGAGCCGCAGCCAAGCCTCATCTAATCTTTGGCTTCAGGTAGAAAAGGGCGATGGAGAGTCAGCTCTGCGCTGGGTACAGGGTATTCGTTAGTCGTCTTTTGGCTTTTGCGTTCTTCTATGCCTTAACAGTTTGTCATCGCTGATTGTCTCTGGGAGGCAGCCGTAGAGCTGCCTGGTCTGTGCCCTGGGTTTCTATTGGCGTGTTGGGCATTGTGCCTCCAGCTCGGTTGGGGCCAGATAAGGCACTATCGTTATCTGGCTGACGAGCATTTTTGTTTGCCAAGTGCTTAAAATTTGTTTTCTTGACGTTTCTCTCTATATATATATATATTCGCAAACCTTTTTTTATATTGTATATTCCTTTCCTTTTGTTGTTGCTGCTGTTTAGAGTCTTTATTTTAATTAAGATTAGGCATAGACCATCTCTGGCTGGCATACATGCGCCAAGTCGCGTTTACTGCTCCGGCTATTCTCACTATTCGGGTATCTGCGAATTCGTTGTGTCATGCGCGTCACAGAGCAGAGGCCTAGGTCGTGGATCGAGGGAAACGATTTGAAGATAAGACATCGGAGAGTTTGCCACAAGTGTGTTAATTTTGGACGAATGATCCTGCAGATTCCATACGGATTGATATATTGTCATTGTCTAGAATCCATTTATAAAATCAACTCGCATACGATTTGAATTTTCTGGTCATTTTCGTTTTGTTGCTTGCGTTCTTTCTAAATTTATGGCTGACTTATATTTTTAGTTTTTCATTAAATTAGAAAAGAAACACAAACGAATGTTGTGCGACAGATTTCCATTTCTTCCGCGCAAAGGCCGACTATAGTATCTGCTCTCAGCTCTTGATATCGATTCAAATTATATATACATGCATATATATATCTCCTAATGGGTGGGCTATTTAATAATTTCGTGATTAAATTTAATGCACACACTTACTAATCGACCATAAATCGAACGTACGCCCACAACTTGGCGAACTTCCTTATCTAAATACAAGCTGGACTACGTCTTTATAATAACTGGGAACTGCGACCTCGGACAAGGGCTGATAAGAAACATGAATTGATATATATCACATTTAAAAGACTAATCGAGTTGGGCAGTTGCTTAATGTGACACGTCGACAACAGTTGGCCTTGTTGGTTTAGTTAAATCGGTATTTTGGATTCTCGGGCAACGACTAAAGATCCGTTTAACTCTTTGCAGGCGTCTGAAGGGCTTTGGTCTAACCGAGGACGATCTGAACGTTTTACTGGAGATGGGCTTCGATGAGCTGCAACAGAACTACGAGAAGGCCTCCAATCAGCCGCATCGCAACGAATCGCTGTGGCTCATCAAGGACGCCAAGCGGCACGATGCCGAGGAGCTGCTAAAGGGCGCGCCCACGGGCACATTCCTGATACGCGCCCGCGACGTGGGCCACTATGCGCTGTCGATTGTCTGCAAGGCGGGCATACATCATTGCATCATTTACGAGACGGAAAGCGGCCTGGGCTTTGCGGCGCCCTACAACATATATCCCTCGCTCAAGAAACTGGTCGAGCACTATGCCACCAATTCGCTGGAGGAGCACAACGATACGCTGACAACAGTCCTGCGCATACCCGTCCTCTATTGGACGCAAAACAAACAGCACATATTGGAGCAGCTGCAGGAGGAGCTGGAACTGGAGCAGGAACAGGAGCGTCTGGCCCAACAGACAACATTGATGCCGCCGCCTTCGGCGAGCAGTGCGCCCATACCTACAACCAGATCGCGGGAGCACAGTGGCCATGATGCTGTCGATGCATCGCTCAGCAGCGAAACGGAAACGCCGCCAGCTTCCATCTCGCCATCAAATTTTAGCACATCGCAATAGGCGATGCCTGGCACACAATCTCCTCCCTGCCTGCCTGCCTGCCTGCCTCACTCCCTCCCCCCCTTGCTAAACTGTCCAATCGAAGGCCTGGCCACTAACTCTCATAGGTATGCCTGGCCGCCAGGCCCCAATCTAAAACTATCTCTCTTAACTATTATAATATTTAAAATGAAGAAAATACCATGTTTTGTGTGTGTGATGGCCGCAGTTCAACTGCGTCGCAAACAAGTAATTTGGTGATCCATGTTGAAGTTGTTTATTATCCATATATAAACATATATATATATATATATATATATATATATGTATACAGGCATGCCTAACTATATCTCTATATATATATATGTGCATATTTTCGTTTGTTTTTGTAACAATGCATTTCGCTTGATACAGGTGATAAAAGGTCAAGCCAAGTGCTATGTAAATTGAAGGTGGTTGAAGCCACAAGATCGTAACTAAGAAGCATCAGCTGTATATACATATAGATCTATATTCATGTATATATATCTATATATATATTTATATGTATATGTATATTATAAAATAGGTGTAGCTCGCACGCTGCGCGTTCTCGAGCAATTGCCAATTGAACAGCTATAAAAATGAATAATTACAACATTGTCGTCTGTTTATTGTAAATATCCCACACACATATATGTATATATATAATAACATATATATGTAGTTCTTTGGAAATCGGGTCGATCGTTTGGCTGATTTTGATAATACAGCTGCGAATTAATTGAAAAGAAGCGTAACAATTCGACCACCAAATTATTTGTTGTTATTGAAAGTCTTTATTGATTTTGAATTAGTTCTTAAGCACAATTTATAAAATACGTACGTTTAAACCGATCGGTGATCGGTGATCAGCGATCAGTGATCAGTGATCAGTGATAAGTGATCAGTTGTCTGTTGCTAATTGATATCATGAACACAATTTCTTTTGTCAAACATCTATAGTTCTTCATATATATATATATATATATATATATATATATATATATTAACTCATTTTTGTGTTTAGTTTTTCTACACGTTTTTTAAGTCTATAGACAGCATACCTTAACACACGCACACACACGCACACACACGCACACACACACACACACACACACACACACACACACACACACACACACACACGCACACTCACACACAGCAGCAACAAAAACAAAAGTGCAATCGGCAAACGAAACAAAAACAAAATACTAAAAAAACCTTTTACATTTGTTATTTATACAATTAAAACAAAAAACATGGTCAAGCAATAAAATGCTCCATAAAAAGACAAAAAAGAAGAAGAAGAAAGGTAGAAGAGGTAAAAAAAAATAAAAAACCGTCAACGGAATCTGCTGCAATATGCAAAAACAAAAAGAAGCTTCAGTTCGTAATTTATATATACAAAAACAATATATATATATATATATATATCTGTAAACATACATTTAACCCACCTGCTATGCGTTTTTTACATGCTCTTTCCAAAAAAAAAACAAAAATCTACTAACTCGTATTTAAAATAAGTTTTGTGCAATTTGTGTTTGTTTAAAGTTGAGAGAGAAAATGAAAAGAAAAGAAAGAAAAAGTGGAGCCCGTTTAAGTTTGTTCAGAGTTCGCTTTGTTTTGGAAAGGGCATTCGGTTGCGGTGTGGCCGAAATTGTTAATCGCCGCGCTTCCTGTTGCCAATTTTGTTTTATGCTACCAACACAACAACAACAACAACAACAACAACAGCAACACTCACCACAATTATTATTATTTTTTTTTAATGCAACTTTGTATATGTAATAATCTATATGTAAAAGCTAATTTAATATATTTAACTTGTAATACAATAATTTCATGTGTTTATACCATAATTATGTATAGTTATATAAATATATATATTTTTTTTTTTTTAATTTTCTAATGCTATGAGATTTCGTCGGATCTCCTACGTTGTAGTATTTTATAAGTTTTAAACATTTAGTGTGTAAAAAAAAAAACACAAAAACAAAAAATAAGAGAAAAAAACTAAAAACTTTCAAACGAAATTTGTATTTTAAATTTGTGCGAGTTAATATTGATAATAATTTCTTTTTGTTTTTGCCATAATTAAATGTTAAATGAGAAAGTTGAAAAATGTTAAAAAAAAGAAGAAGAAGAAGCGCTTGATAATATGATGAGAATGATAACGAATTGCAAATTTGTTGTATTTTTTATATGAAACATATATATATATTTAGATATATATATACATATATATATATGCTATATGTTGTAGTTCTTAAGCACAACCTGCCACAGTCGGTTCAACAAAAACAACAACAACAGAAAACAATTTTTTGTAGTAGATATTAGAGAGAAATTAAAAAAAACAAAAACAAAAAAAAGTATGTATGTATCCATTTGTATTTTGTGTCTAAAACAGCAGCAACAACAACAACGACAAACAAAAGAATGTTCGTAAATAACAAAATGAAAATAAAATGAAACAATAAGTAAAAGAAAATTGATATATATATACACATATATTCATGATTATGAGCAAAAAGCAACAACAAAGCAGCGTCATATTTGCTAGACTTTATTTTACACGCCAGTTCTTATTGGACTTTTGTTGGGTTATGCTGACTGGCGGAGGGGTGGTGAGTAGGGGGGGTAGCGTTCGCCCCGCTTTTCTGCTGAGCCGTGTGAAACGCGAGCCCAAAGTCAGGGAATACGCTGGAAATCACGCGCCCAGCGCTATCCAACGTATGACAAACAATTTGGCACCAAACACGAGATCAGCTCATGATACGTGGTCCAACATTCAAATTATAGTCCAAAGGAATTCGCGGTCCATCACGCCAAACAATGGGCGTCCGTTTCGATAATGCCCGCTGGCAACTTTGGTCTCGTTTCACCAATTTATATAGTCATGTTGTGTGGCTGAGCACACGAACAAATTTACTTTTATCGTACAATTAATAAATGCTGTTATTACAAATTAAAAACCCTTTTTTTTGGGCATTTGTGCCAATTGGCATATTTTAAGGAAATTTCAGTTAAAAGTCCCTTGGTGAGTAGCAACGCTTTCCCTAGCATGGGCTATCATAAAATATATATATATCAGTTTGAATTTCCCTAGTTTATTTTCTATTCTCAAAATTAACGAAATACAACATAAATTTCTTGTTTATTCAAATGGATTACAATTTAAGGTATAAGAAATTCTTTACCTATGAGTACATGTAAAACTGTTATAAATCCCACCAATTTCCTTGAAAGTGTTTTTTTGACAATTTTACCCACCTCCCCCCCTCAGCACAAACTGTCATATAATACAAATCACATTTTTATCGCCTTTTATTGGCTTGTGATTCTTATGGCTGTGCGTTATCAAAAATTAAACAAAATTATTAGGTTCTTTTTCTATTTTGAGAACCTGTTAAGGCTATGAACTTTACTGATCTAAATATAACGCCTTTTAATATTTGGGGAAATTATTTATTAGCGCAGCAAATTCAACAAGTCCCATTTAAAATCCCATGTTGAAAATCAACAAGTTATACAATTTTCCTAATATGTATGTGTTATAAATATACGACATGATAAAATGATTAGGCAATTAATTCAATGATTTATGCGACTTATATGCAAAATGTTTTATTATTTTGGCAGAAACTAGTGCACACACACACACACACACACACATGTGTATAAAAAGTATATTTATACACACAAGTTTGTATGCAGAAATAAGTTAATATATTTGCTTACATTATGGTTTCTCATGTAACCCATGCTCAAAATCTTTTAGTTGTGCCTTTAATTAATCAATTGTTTCATTTGCTTATATTATAAATGAAATGAATAGAATTAAATTGTTGCAAATTTCCTGCAGATAATGCATTTCACATTAAAATACAGCGCTAAAAAGTATGCTGTGTTTTAATGCGCCAAATTGCCAGGGCTGCACAGCCAAAACAACAACAAAAAACACTTTAAACGTTTGCAGCAAACATAAGGCGAACATATTTATGTGCACATACATACATATGTATGTATGTATTTGTATGTACATATACGAATAGTTTGAATTAAATGTTGTGCGCAATATTCGAGGCGTTGGTTTTGCGGTTTGAGTCCCAAGCGACCGCCCGTTCGACCGCCCGCCCGCCCGCTAGCAAGCGAACGTTGAGGGGGCGATTCGCGGCTAACTGCGCAGTTGTTTAAAAATCTATGTGTGTGTGTGTGTGTGTGTGTGTGTATACACACATACATATGTTAGCATAGACAGAATGTGGGTTATGAGCCGCTGCCACGCGCACAGTTTGAGAAGCTCACCACGCAAGTTGTTGTTGTTTACAGTTCTAATAATGGCCAACGCCTCGGCAGACATGTGCCGGCCGGTATTTTTCGGCAGTTCAACAAACCCCATACAAATATCCCAAGGTGAATAGACAGAATTCGGAATAATCGTTTCTTATCATTGATGAAATCGTTTCATTAGAGAAAGCCTTATTATTAGCATTATTTACTGTTAATTGCATGTTGCTTAAGAATTAGATTTATAAAATATGATATATAGAAAACAAACTCAACTCAGTCAATGTGACCGAAAATCGGACTAAAAACTTAAAGCTATATCAACAATTTAGTGGGAATATTTAGGGCTAACACTACAAGATCAATATATCAGGTCTGATAATATACAACTAATTGATGGCTAATGATAACATTTTCTGGTAACGTGAATGCATGCGTTTTGGCAGTAGCTCATTGCAATTGGAAAGCATTTACAGCTCCAGCTGGAACTGCTCCTGTTCCTCGATTTTCAGCGATTGCGTCTTCTTCGCCAGGTCTGTGGGCACGGGCACACACTTGCGGAAGGGTGTGCGGGGCGTGCCGCGCAGCAGGCAGCTGGGTATATTGCTGGGCGGCGTCTGGCTCAACGGGGATCCACGCAGGTTCTTCATGAAGGCACGTTCATAGATCACCTTGGTGCCTGCAAAGATAAGGTCAGAAATGAACTGTTAGTCTAAATTGAATTGATAATTGCATCAGACTCTGCACAGGTGATAAGACACAGCTGCACGAGCTCACAGTAAATATTCATGAGTCACGGACATGTGCGCCTGGCCAGACTGAAGTTCGAGTCCGAGTCTGGGATTGTTATCACTCGGCTGATTCACAGTTGCCAAAATATTGCATCAACTTACCGCCAGGTGTCGTGGAGTAGAGGGTGCCGCCGGGCGTAGCGGAGTACACTTCCGGCATTTGGATGGGATCGGTTATCACAACCTTCTTGGTCTTCGTCATGGCCAGGGGCAGCGCATGCGAGAAGGCTTGGCGAGCGGTGGGAGATGCAGACATCTTCTTCTTCTTTTCAATTATGTAAGTTTCCGTTACTTTGTAACACGTGTAAATCGTAATCGAACGAGTTTTGTTTGTTTGCGCGAAACTGCGTTGTTGAATTTGTCGCTGCCTTTGACTTCTGCTTATCAGCTGCTGACGCGCTCTCGTACTTGCTTGGTTCGCTTTGCGAGTCCAATTGACACTCGACGGCATTTGGCAGCTGTATTTATACTGCTTGCTCTTCTTCTTTCAATCGTGACGAACGTAAACAAAGTCAGCGAAGCGCACGTCCCGGCAGCGCGTCACTGCAATGCGCTCTCTCTCTCTCTCGCTCTCTTGTTTTCGCTCTCTCGCTGTGCTTGCTCTCTTCTTGTTGTTGCCTGTGTAATATAAATGTAGCTTGTTTTTGTTTTTATCGTTTACCAATTCTTATGAATTAGTACTAAACGGTTTTGGTAGTGTTGGAAGGGACGCTTATACATATCTCTTGGATACCTTCTTAACCCGTTGTTTACACATTCTGCATTGTTATTTGTCTAATTAGTTGTTTTCTTGTTTACAATTTCTTGCATTTAAATTATGCAGGAATAATTTACGGCTTCGAATCAAGTACTAATTAGGCTAGAAATGTGCTTAATTCAGTTCTTTTCATATATATTATGTGATGATAAAATCCTCGACAAATTTTTATACCCTGAACCCATTAAAAATGGGTATAAGGGCATATTGTATTTGTGCAAAATCCAAATGTATGTAACAGACAGAAGGAAGCTTCTCCACCCCATAAAGTATATATATTCTTGATCAGCATCAATAACCGGGTCGATCTAGCCATGTCCGTTCGTCCGCCCGTCCGTCCGTCCGGCCGTCAACCTATAAGAGCTAGAGACTTGAAATTTTGGATGTAGATGCTTCTCGCGCAGATCGAGTTTGTTTCCGATAATCGATAACTTACTCCGTTTCCAAGCAATCGATAAAAGTCGTTATCGATATCCTGTTTTTTGGGCAATTTTGGTAAATAATAAGAGCTAGAGTCACCAAACTTGACATTTAGCTTCTAAAATAGAATATATATATGCATTTGATGTTGGAAGAAGGGGGTTCAGGGTATCCCCTAGTCGGGAGCTCCCGACTAGAACCTCTTACTTGTTATAAATGGGCGCAGTAGCTCGGGCTTAACTATATTCAGGAACAGGCAAATCCAAGTCAGTTGTATATGACGACAATATAAATAATCATAATTAGTTAGCATTATATTTATAGAAATATAACATTTTGACCGATATCTATATATGTATATATACTATAGTGGTCCGGAATTGACGTAAATTTCCTGGAAATATCTTGAAAACAAGAAAAACAAAAACTATTTTGTAAACAACATTTTTTATGAATCTATAATATAGTGGTTCGATTCGGCCGACATAGATATATACAAAAATAGGTGGATATATGCCAAGTTAACTTAAAACTGAAAGAATACTTTGCATAAACACAGAAAGATTTACGGGTATAGAGATTAACTAAGCTCACCATCCACTTATATTACCCGGAATTGGAGATGCCCCACTTAGAGGGTTTCAGATTTCGGGAAAAGGGTATACAAGGAATCAGTATATCAATTATTCAGCAGCTGAAATCCTTAACCCTTTGACAGAGCAGCCTGTGCTCCAAGCCATGCGACCGATCTAATTGTCGATCTCTCAGGGATTATATAATACTAAACGAAATAATATAGAGACATGTTATTTGGTAGCTTTTATTGTCTCAGATATTGTTTTTCGCTTCTCGGAATAGGTAGACCATGAATTTCTGCATTTGCCGTTTCCTACGAATGTTGTCATCGTCGCGTTAAGATCTGGTCTTCAAGTCTTTTGGCCAGAGAACTCCGAGTGCAAACTGCGCAGTAGTTTCTGAACGCATTTCTCTTGATCCGACAGATGCCGGCCGGTATTTCCAGAGGACGGGGTTCAATAAACCCCTCCCAAAATACATACACATACATAGATGGAATATTACCATCAAGGTGAAATGGAAATACACACTCGAGCAGCTTATAGATAACTTGGTTAGTCAGCTCTCAAGGTCCAGCAGCTGATAAAATATACAAATAAACCCGTTCTTCAATTTCAATTTCAATTTCAATTTAATTCAAAATGTTCATCAAGTGTTTATTGCATGAGTTGCTTCTTACCAACTAAAATGAATCAATTAAATTAACACAGACTCAATCAATATGACTGACAACTTAACTAGGAACAAACACTTAGGAGCTACATGGACAACTTGATGGCATAAATATGAGAGCTAGCCCTATAAGATCAGTATCAGGTGCGACAATATACAACTAGATGTTTGGCTAATGATAAAAACATTTTGGATGATGTTTGTGCGTTTTGGCAGTAGCTGCTTGGAATTGGGATGCCTTGTTCTGTGGTGTGCGCTGTGTGCATTTACAGCTCCAGCTGGAACTGCTCCTGTTCCTCGATTTTCAGCGATTGCGTCTTCTTCGCCAGGTCTGTGGGCACGGGCACACACTTGCGGAAGGGTGTGCGGGGCGTGCCGCGCAGCAGGCAGCTGGGTATATTGCTGGGCGGCGTCTGGCTCAACGGGGATCCACGCAGGTTCTTCATGAAGGCACGTTCATAGATCACCTTGGTGCCTGCAAAGATAAGGTCAGAAATGAACTGTTAGTCTAAATTGAATTGATAATTGCATCAGACTCTGCACAGGTGATAAGACACAGCTGCACGAGCTCACAGTAAATATTCATGAGTCACGGACATGTGCGCCTGGCCAGACTGAAGTTCGAGTCCGAGTCTGGGATTGTTATCACTCGGCTGATTCACAGTTGCCAAAATATTGCATCAACTTACCGCCAGGTGTCGTGGAGTAGAGGGTGCCGCCGGGCGTAGAGGAGTACACTTCCGGCATTTGGATGGGATCCGATATGACAACCTTCTTGGTCTTCGTCATGGCCAGGGGCAGCGCATGCGAGAAGGCTTGGCGAGCGGTGGGAGATGCAGACATCTTCTTCTTTTTGATTATGAAACTTTACGTTACTTTAAAAAAAAAACAACTTGTAAATCGTAATCGAACGACTTTTGTTTGTTTGCGCGAAACTGCGTTGTTGGAATTGGCTATTGCTGTTTAGCTTCTGCTGCTGCCGCTGCTGCTGCTGTGTGTGTGCTGACTTGGTCGCTCTGCGAGTCCAATTGACAGCCAACAGCCGTGAGGAGCAGTATTTATAGCGCTGGCTCTTCCTCTTTCGCGCCGTTAAGCGTGCAAACAAAACAGACGCACACACACACACGCACACATAGACATTGCATATTGTGCTCTCTTCGCGCGCTCTCTCACGCTCACGCTCAGGCTCAGCAGGGTAGCCGCCTGCTGTTGTTTTTGTTATTGCTTCTTGCTTGTTTTGTATTCTACAAAATTTCTGCGTAGTACTAGTAGTATATGGTTGTTGTTATTCCTGTGCAATATATTTATTGCTGTTGTTTTTTTTTTTTCTTCTATATCTTGCCAATGCAGACGAGAGTGTTCGACTCATTTCGGTTTTGCTGGGGCGTCTGGGACGGCGTCAGCCTTGATCGGTCGCGGGCTGTTGTTGACCGGTTCTAATCTGTTTATCTTTGCCGCTTGTATTTATTGGTAAACAGTTATGTAGAAATATGTGGAGACAAAACGCACAAACAAGAAGAGCCAGAATATCGAATATCGATAACGCTCGCATCGATTGCATTTTGATGACTCAACCGCTTCAGTAAGGAATTTAGTAGAAACATACGCAAGTAAGTAATTAACATAAAGACACGTTGCCGGTGAAAATTGGCTGACGTATGGCCCGGCAATTAAATTGTGCGCCACGAGCCGCAATAACAGCGTGCGGGGGCGCTGTTGACGACACTTCGCGAGGCACGCCTGTAAAAGTGATGCTACTTAGCAGCCAATTACGACGCAGTTTACTATTTTGGCCATTGGCCATAGCTTGATCTGCGGTTGGTTGTAATGGCACCACGTGTAGCAGCGCCCGTTAATGTGGGACAATAGCTGCCACCCACGATCGCCGCAGGTTTATCTATAGCAGCAAGGTTAACATGAAAGCCACGTGCTTTAATTTATGTTCAAATCGGACAGATCTGTGGCAACGCACTTGCCCATTGGCCTCGGTCTAAAGATAGTCGGCACTAGGAAAGTTTTTCTGTTCGGGCTGGCGCCTTGCGCCCGGCACCTGTGCAATTAACCCCATTTATCCACATTCACATGTGCCTAAGTGCTGACCCTGTTAATTGAGTTGATTAACAGCCGCATTACAGAGCACACCCGCACCCCTTTGCCGTGCCAACCGTCACGTAGCGCAACAACATAAACAGTTAGCCCTACGTGCGGGTGTAAGCCTATGCAAGATTTTCATGCTAACTCTCCCTGTCTCTCTCTCTCTCTCTCTCTCTCACTCGCCTCACACGCGCTTTTTTTGTATGTTGCTCTCCTGCTCGCTTATCAACCCCCCTTTGGGTTAAGGAAACCGGTTTTAGTTTCGCTTTTGTTTGTACCTGCGCAGTAGCCGAGTCAAGAAAATGCGTCGCGGGGAAAATTTCGGCATGGCAAACAGGTAAGATCTGTGCGGCAACCCCTAGACCCCGCCGTCGCATTTTAAAAAAATGTGTGTTTTTCGAATTTCGTTAAATTCGGCACACGGCTGACGAAATTGCACGATGCCATTGCAGCAGCAGCAGCAGCAGCTCTTTAAGTACGAAAATCTATCTATAAGTCTATACATATATACTATATATTAGCATCTAAATTAAGCTATTCGTATTCAGTGTGCTGATAGTTTCTCATGAATGGGGCGCCTCTTGCGCTGCCCGGCTCCGAGCGGCGCCTAAGCAGCATGCCTAAAACAACCTAATCAACAAGTGGCAACGGGCACAACGCACTCTATATACTCTATCTCGCTCTTTATTATTGCAATACAAATTCTGTTACTTACAGCTGATGTGCTGTTACTGGGATTAAAATGCTGTTACTTACAGCTGATATGCTGTTACTGGGATTAAAATGCTGTTATTTACAGCTGATGTGCTGTTACTGGGATTACAATTATGTTAGTTACAGCTGATATGCTGTTACTGATGTGCTGTTACTGGGATTAAAGTGCTTTATTTACAGCTGATATGCTGTTACTGGGATTAAAATTCTGTTATTTACAGCTGATGTGCTGTTACTGGGATTAAAGTGCTGTTATTTACAGCTGATGTGCTGTTACTGGGATTAAAATGCTGTTACTTACGGCTGATGTGCTGTTACTGGGATTAAAATTATGTTACTTACAGCTGTTGTGCTTTTACTGGGATTAAAATTCTGTGATTTACAGCTGATGTGCTGTTACAGGGATTAAAATGCTGTTATTTACAGCTGATGTGCTGTTACTGGGATTAAAATTCTGTTATTTAAATGTAGATTTCAATCATTTCCTCTTAAATTTGTTTATATCATTTTGATTAAGATTTTTGAGAATTCTCAGTTTCTGTATCAATTGGAGTGCACTCGAACTTATCAATTCAGACGAAATATGGCCTATTCATTCCATTCACATTTGTCATATATGTAATTTTTGCCAAATATTGATAAGCATTATAAAGTAAACAATGCTGCCTACCTCTATTCTAGTCTGTGCGCAGATAATGATGTGAACAACTTTTTCTTTTAAATATATATATATATTTTTTAAATATATATATATGCATATTTCTTGACATAATTTTAAAACTGAATATCTTATATAGAAAATCAACTTGAGAGAATATAGAAAATGTAGTTAATCTCTTTGACATTTAGGTCTAAAGCCTATTTACAGGGTATAGAGAATAGCATATTGCTTTTTCGTCAACGTCGATGACCCAAAAACAAATATTTGTGTGTTTATGTCTAGAAACCTGAAAACAAATGTAAATATGTATTTCATTTAAAATGACGCCGGCCCAAAAAAACAACAACAACAACAACAACAAAATTCGAATCAGTTGACTTTGTTTATTCGAATTATGAAAAACAAACCAAAATAAACCAAATAGAATATCGTAAACAAAGGACAATATTTATTAGGCCTACAAATCAGAAGCTCAAAATGGAGCCTAGAGTTACGTCCTATATCGAGCTTCAGACTGCACGGCTCTTTTTTTATACCCTGAACCCATTAAAAATGGGTATAAGGGCATATTGTATTTGTGCAAAATCCAAATGTGTGTAACAGGCAGAAGGAAGCATATTCTTGATCAGCATCAATAGCCGAGTCGATCTAGCCATGTCCGTCTGTCTGTCCGTCCGTCCGTCCGGCCGTCAACCTATAAGAGCTAGAGATTTGAAATTTTAGATGTAGATGCTCCTAGTTCCCGCGCAGATCGAGTTTGCTTCCGATAATCGATAACTTACTCCGTTTTCAAGCAATCGATAAAAATCGATATCGATATCCTGTTTTTTGGGCAATTTTGGTAAAGGGAAAATTTGGAATAAGAGGGTTCAGGGTATCCCCTAGTCGGGAGCTCCCGACTAGAACCTCTTACTTGTTATATTTTATTTTCGGGAGCGGAGAATCTGCAGCATGACTAGCTCGAGGAATAGGTTCAATAGCCAAGCTGATAAGTCGAAACTGTACAGATATCGCATTATTTCCGAAATGCGATTCCAAAATATGCAAAATAAAAAAAATAGGAATTGAATGTTTTTGCATTTGGCAGCCTCTTTGCGCCAATCAATCAATAATATGCATTGCAGTAAAAGTAATGCCAAAGAAACTATGGAAATTTACGAAAAGGAACTTGAAACCTTCGCGACGATCAATGAACTTTTTTTTTTTCAGAACACGCGAGTTGCATGAACTTATGGGATAGCCAGTTTTATTGCCCTCACGAGAATAATACAACGGACGATGACGAGGCCTGCGAATAAATAGTGATTCCGGCCTCTTTATTGTTAAAAGCTTTCCTTTATATTCAAGCATTTTGACATCCATGAAATCCAGGTTCTATTTGACAAGTTTTTTTGAAAAGTTCTTTATTTGAGCAAAGAGAGAGTTGAGTTTTGATTTTGGCTGCCTCACGGCAGACTTATATATATTATTTATTTATCAGTTAACAGGCCTTGTATGATTTTTACTGCATTCATATTGAATTGTGCAACTGTTTGTCATTATACGATCGCGTTATCTGGCCATAGTTTCTTGAATAGAAATCAACCAGCACTTGAACACTTTACATAAGAAACTTAACTGAACGTTAACCGGCTCGTAAATGATAAATGCATTTCTTAATTACGCCGTAGTATTTAGGAAACGTATATGCGACAAGAATGCAATGATTGTTTCGAGATGCTCATGAGTGTCATTGTAATATGATAAGAAGAAATTAAGAAATTCTGCTTGCGATCAGCATCTAGTACTGCAAATGAATACTTTCGTTTAACTTTAAACTCAATTTAAAGTTCAAGTTTGCTTATATTTTAAACTATACTCAAAGAAATACAGAAAAACTTATTTAAGCAACACAAACAGCTCACATTTGAAAATAAAGCAATGCGCGCGTCAGTTGGCGCCATCTGGCGTTACGCACAAACAACCCTGTTTGAATATCGATAAACGCAGTGTGGCACGGCATGCCTATCGGTAGCTTTTTTTTTTTTGGCGGGAGGTGTGCACACTCGCTGTCTGCCCAGGGACTGAAGAGATTTGTTTGAAATAAATTAATTAAAACAACTATGGATCTTAACGATGCCGTGCTAACGTGCGCGGTGAACATACACTGGACGAACGCGGTGGGCATAACCGGTCGCAAGCTGGCCTACAGGACGGCAACGTTGCGTCTGGTGCGCAACGATTTGCGCGAAATTTTCGTCGAGGTGACGCCCGAGAAGCTGAAACCGCTCAAATTCAAGCTAAAGGACATAATGGTGCACAAGAAATTCATGGCCGAGGGCAAGGCCACGTTCAACTTCAAGGCGGAGCAGTGCTCGCTCTACCTGTCCAACGCACCGCCCGGCACCCTGATGCTCTTCCTGCGCACCATATTCATCAAAATGAATGGCAGCGGAGACGGCGCACTGGACGATGCGTCTCTGCAAAAAAAGCTGCGCGAGCAGATGCTGGGCTCGCGGCCCAGCAGCTTTGAGGAGATCTCACCGGTGACCACCGCCGAAATGGTTTTGGCGCGCAAAAAGGCGGGCCTCATAACGCGTGGCAGCACGACCACGCCCTCGCCGCAGGCAGCCAAAAAGCGACGCTTCGAGGAGCTCAAGGGGGCTGGCGACGAGGCTGGCCAAGGCGTGCCCGCTGCCAAAAAGCTGTACCAGGCATCGCCACTGGCCGGCACGCAAACGGAGGACTCGCTGCGTTTGAACGAGGAGCAAATGGAAGTGCTGCGCGCCTGCATCGCCGGCAAGAATGTCTTCTTTACGGGCTCCGCCGGCACGGGCAAGAGTTTTCTGTTGCGCAAGATCATCTCGGCGCTGCCGCCGGAAGGCACCGTGGCCACGGCATCCACGGGCGTGGCCGCCTGCCTGATTGGCGGCACGACCTTGCACGCTTTTGCCGGGATTGGCGGCGGCGATGCCACGGCTCAACGTTGTCTGGAGCTGGCATCGCGTCCCGTTGCCGCGCAGACTTGGCGCAAATGCAAGCGTCTGATCATAGACGAGATCTCCATGGTGGATGGTCAGTATTTTGAGGTAAGTTCTTGAGCTGCAGAAACTGACAATCCAGCTAATCCTTGACAATTGCAGAAAATTGAGGCTGTGGCGCGTCACATACGCCGCAACGAGCGTCCATTTGGCGGCATCCAGCTGATACTCTGCGGCGACTTTCTCCAGCTGCCGCCCGTCGTCAAGGGCGAGACGGCCGTGCAGCGCTTTTGCTTTCAGTCCAGCGCCTGGGAGAGCTGCATCCAGTGCGTCTACGAGCTCAAGCAGGTGCATCGTCAATCCGATCCGGAGTTTGTTAAAATACTCAACCATTTGCGCATCGGCCATGTCAACGAGTCGATCGCGGCCAGGCTGGTGTCCACGTCAAAGCAGAAGATCGAAGGCAATGGCATTTTGGCCACGCAGCTGTGCTCGCACACGAACGATGCCAACTCCATAAACGATTCGAAGCTGGAGCATTTGAGCGGCGACAAGGTGCTGTTCCGTGCCGAGGACTCGGATGCCGGCATGAGCAAGCAGCTCGACCAGCAAGTCCAGGCGCCGGCACAGCTCTATCTGAAGATCAATGCGCAGGTAATGCTGCTCAAGAATATCAATATAGCCAACGGCCTGGTCAATGGTGCACGCGGCGTCGTCGTGCGCATCGAGAAGGGTCTGCCCGTGGTGCGCTTTAAGAACAATCAGGAGCACGTGTGCCGGCTCGAGAAGTGGATCATCAAGACGGCGACGGGCGGCGTGCTGACACGCCGTCAGGTGCCGCTCAAGCTAGCCTGGGCCTTCTCCATACACAAGAGTCAGGGCCTGACGCTCGACTGCGTTGAGATGTCGCTCTCCAAGGTGTTCGAGGCTGGGCAGGCATATGTGGCGCTGTCGCGCGCCAAATCGCTGCAATCCGTGCGCATTCTGGACTTCGATGCCAAGCAGGTGTGGGCCAATCCGCAGGTGCTGCAATTCTACAAGAACTTCCGGCGCCGACTCATCGACACCAGCCTGATACCGCTGGGACCCAAGAACAAGGACAAGAAGCCGGGCGCCGCCGGCAGCACCAGCAGCGCCCTGGCCAAGCTCAAGAAGAGTCTCATGAACAAGCCGCTCGTCTCGATAAGCTAACGTCTCGACAAGATAACCACGACTGATCTTTTAGCAACAAATTCGTAACTCGTAAGGACTGAAACAAGGCTTTCCATTCTGAGGCTGCCGCCGCGCTGCCTCAAAGTCCAAACCCTTGACAAACTATATGCACAATATGAATAGCTAGACTTAAATTTGACACATTTGCAATTATTGCTGCCACAGTTTTTGGCGCCAGACCCAATCTCGTGGTCTCAAGAACGATTCGGGATGCCGTAGATTAAATAACTCTGTAAGAACTGTTGATGGTTAACAGGAAGATGTTCATGTTCCTGATTTCGTATCAATATACAGTATCTTCTACAAATGTCTGGGACTAGCCCGGAAATAAACGCTAGCTTGTAGTTTTCTATACAATATAATTCCCAACTTGCTTAAACGTAGTCTACTAGAAAGCATGTCCGCATTCGTGGCTGAACTCAAGCAAGATAATGGCTGGATAAAAACCAAGCATAGTCGTCATTTTTCTACAGTTTGTGTATATATTTATGTAAATCCACGTCACAGGCTACGAACATTTGATGGTTTTTAGTTTTGTGGCGGAGGCTTTTCAATGGGCCACATTATCGTCGTCCTTCATGCCGCTGCCAACTGGACCGTGACGACGCTCCCAGATGAGGCGATGCTTCTGCTTCATGTACGCGGTCTTCGCATTGGCATAGCCGCCCAAGTCGCCATCTGTCAGGTTAGAAACATAAGATATATGAGAAGGGGAAACACTTTAAGGGAAAAGCTGTCTGGAGGCCATACACTTGATGAACCAGTTCTCGGTGGCCTTTTCGTATTGCTCGAGCAGTGGCTTGCACTTGACCATATGGTCGGGCGCCTCGTACAGGGTGCAATCCTCGAAGCGCTGCCGCAAGATGTTCAAGACCTCGTTGTCCACCATGCGATCCCGCCGGAACTGCTGATCCGCCTCGAAGCGGCAGACGGCATCGTCTGTGTAGCACTGATCGATGGTTGGCACACGACGGAAGCGCTGATGGTACCAATTCGACTTCTGTTGATTCGGTTCGACAATCGATTCTGTGCGTTCGTTTTAACATGTAAACAAAACAAAGCCGCTTTTAGATTTGAGGTTATGTCATTATGTAATTTGGCAAACTGTGTTTAAATTGTTGTGCATTGCGGTACTTGCAGCGTTAACTATTGCATGCGTAGCGCATTCGTGGCCAAAGCAGCTTATTTAAATATTTGGGCGCATTTCTTACCACGAAACCAGGTGATGGGTCCATCGATTGTATCCTGTACGGATTGTACAAAGCGGGCCATTGGGCTGCGCGGCTCCGGCATTTTCTAGCTGTTCTCAACTGTAAATTAGCAATGGTTTGCAATTACAAGGTATTTCTTTTGATTTATTGTGCTATTTTATGCATTCTGCATAAAATCTCAATTTTTACCCAAATTCCAATCAGCAGCTGTAAAACAACAAACAGCTGTTTGTTGAGTGTGAAGAGCACAGCTATACAGCAAACATTGTGTTTTCCACAAGGTGGCAGCTTGGCGGACTCAACTTTGCGTGCGATAACATTGTTATCGATTGCCCTGACAGCTGTAACGTCTTGTCGCTAACTACCCTGCGTAGACACATGCTGCTGCAACATGGCAGCAAGTGGCAACATTCTAAATTGCTAAGCAACATATCTCTTAAAGAGGGTCGCGCTTAAAGTTGCGAAAACCTTTCGATTATATAAGACAGTAAGTTATTTATATGCTTATTAGCAAAGTGCAAAATGTTGTATTTAAGTTTATATGGCAAATATTTATTGCCTCAAACGTCGATCGCTTTGAAACGAGTTTTTGGCAATTCTAAATTCTCTCCAATATTCGCCATGGCGCCAAAAGCACAGCAAAAAAAAAAAGAAAAGAAAAGAGAAGAGAAGGGCCAAGTGCTGCAGAGAAACTTAGTGGTTGCTGCTGTTGCCAGAGAGACCGTTCGTCTGTTTTGTATCCGTAAGTTTAAAGAGAGAGCGCGCGTGTGTGAGAGCGCGCGAAAAAGATACGTTCGAGGCGCTCTTTGCAATTGCCGCTACGCAGCGAACATTTTTCAACAGTTTTGTGGCGGTCGTCAGAAAGCTCGCACGTGCGAACGCGTAACGGCAAGTTCGACATAAGCACAACAACAATAACGACAGCAACAGCAGCATTAGCAGCAACAACAACAAATCAAAGAAACAAAACGAAAACACAAAACGCCGTGTATTTTGAGAGCGCGCCTGCAGAGTGCAGGCTTTTATTCGCGCGCGCGTGTGTGTGTGTGTGCGTGTGCGTTTGTTGTTCTTGTGGCAGAGCAGCTAAATAGCAAAGAGCAAAATTCCTAAATAAATATTCAATAACGAATCTGGTCGTTAAGCATGCAAAAATAAAGAAGATATCAAATAAGAAATTAAATAAAATAAAATAAAGTTTATAAATAGTGCACAAACAAGGCGGCTAACGGCAGCGGTCGCATTCACAATTGTCAGGCGGCGGCGTTTTAGCCTCTGCCGCCTGCCAGTTGCGCTGTCGCCGTCGACGTCGCTGTCGCTGTCGGTGTCGGTGTCTGTCTGTGTGCGTGAGTGTAAGTGAGTGTCTGTGCGTCGTCGTGTATGTGTGTGCGGCCGGTGTGTGTTCCGTTCCAGTGTCTGTGGCTGTGCCTGTGCCTGTGTCTGTGTCTGCGTCTGCGTCTGCCGGCCTGCGTCTTCTCGTCTACGCCAGCGTCTCTGTATCTTTGTATCCGTCTCGGTTGCGTCGCGTCGCGTCGCGTTGTCGTGCGGTTTTTTTGCAGCGCGCCCAGATAAATGTTAAGCATACGAAGTGGAAATTAATTTATGGCAAAATTTAATAAGTGAGTGCCACAACCACAACAACAACAACAACAACAGCATCGTCGCCTCAAAGTGCGCACAAAGTTTTAAATTTAGCACAAAAAAGCCAAATAGATAAATAAGACAAAATTTAAAAATTGTGCACGCCGCCTGCAGCAGCAGCAGCGGCAGCAACAGCAGCGCAGCAGCAGCAACGTCAGCGTCAACGCTGGCAGAGCGCAACACGCGCGCCTTCAAAACACACACACACACACATACACATGCTACGAAAAGCTCGCAGCGCAGCGAGCGCTACGCAGCGCCGTCGGCAAATGCAGCGCCAAAAATAAAATAAGATGAAAAATGCGCGCAAAAAAAAAACAATTTATCAAACAAAGTGCCAAAATTGTTAATATGCAAACAAAATACCAAAATTCATAATTAAATGCAATAAAAAATAAAAACCGAACAAATAGCAACAAGCTAAAAGAAACGAATAAGAATAAGCGTGAAAGGAGAAGCAGAAGCAGAAGGAGCAGTAGAGGAAACAACAATCGAGCGCGTGTTATCGATAACCGAGCGATATCATGACCGAATACGTGACGCCGATGATCAGCAGCGTGCTGAAAAAGTATCAGACGAGCGCCACGAAGAGCTTGCAGGGCCCCGCCGTGGCGCTCATCAAGAAGGAACTGTCCAGTTCGCCGGAACCACACGAAACGCTGCATGAACCGAGCGGCGTTGTTGTTGGTAACGCTGCCGGCGGCGAGCGTGCACAGTTATATGCGGCACCGCTGCCACTGCCGCCGGAACTGTCGCAGCCGATCTTGACGCAGCCGGATACGGACTGCGGCGAGCTGTACGAGACGCGGCTGGAGGGCAAGACCATCGGCTGCTTCTCGCTGGGCGGCGAGATGCGGCTGTGCCTGCCGCAATTTCTGAACAATGTGCTCAACGATTTTACGCTGGATCAGATCAATGGCATTTTCGAGGATCTGGGCATCTCGTGCTCGCAGTGCACGCCCGATCAGCTGGTCGAGTTCAAGGCAGCCAAAATTCTGCCCTCCGACGTGAAGGGCAGCGGCCTAATTACGCGCACCGACGCGGAACGCCTCTGCGCCGCCCTGCTGCATCGCTCCGACCGGAACAGCTATGTGCCCGTCGAGAGTCTGGGCAAGGGCGCGCTCAGCTTTCAGGTGTATCACAAGTGCTTTGGCAAATGCGAGGGCATCTGCACGCCGGACATGTACTCGTACCAGAAGCCGACATGCATCCAGTGCTTGGAGTGCAATTGCTGGTTCTCGCCCCAGAAGTTCGTGGGACATGTTCATCGCAAGGTGGAGAATCGCACCTGTCATTGGGGCTTCGATTCACGCAACTGGCACGATTATCTGCACGTGGCGCTCGACGTCGAGAACCGGGAGAAATATCAACGCATTTTGGATCAGCTCAAGGAGGTCGAACTGAAGGAGATGCACAAGGCGCAGTGCGAACTGGATCACAAGAAACGAAAGGTGAGCGAACGCTAGTTCTTCTTTCCAGTAGTGGTTCGATAAATCGGAACTAGTTCATTTCGATTGATCTGAATCTCTGCTAAAGCTTTACTCATTCTTCGTTGACATAAGATGAGCGAACTCTGGTTCTTCTTTCAAGTAGTTCACGAAGAGTGGTTTGCTAAATAGGAACTAGTTCAATTTGATTGAGTTCTAGCTCTGTTTAAGCTTTTCTTATTCTTCGCTGAGTCATAATTTGAATAATGTTAGTTGAGCGAACTCTGGTTCTTCTTTCAAGTAGTTCACGAAGAATGCTTTGATGGATTAAAACTAGTTCATTTTGACTGAGCTCAAGCTCTGTTTAAGCTTTTCTTATTCTTCTCTGGTTCTTCTTTCAAGTAGTTCACGAATGTGTGTTTTAGTGGTTCGATAAATTGGAACTAGTTCAGTTCAACTCTGTTTAAGCTCTTCTAAAGCTCTTCTTATTCTTCGCTGAGTCATAATTTGATAAATTCTAGTTCAATTTGAAAGATTGATAAATTTGTTATTTGCTGCCATGAAAAATGAAGTATTAAAACTTTTTTGCCCAAAAGGCGAGCAGACAATTTTTAAGTCGAAAAAAACTTAAAGCTTCTGCTAATTATATTTCACTCATTTTAATTTAAAGCTTGCTCTTGATTTACGAACATTTGTTCACGTTTTCTTCAATTATTTGTTAAACTAATGTGAATGCATGTTTATGTATTTTTTTTAAGTAGTTTTAATTTCTTTCAAATGCGTAAGATACGCTACTTAAGCACACGCACACGCACATGCACTATTTTTTTTTCGCTTTTTGGTTAGTACCGTTAAAGCATTTGCTGCGTTTCAAAAGCAGGTTGGCTGCCCCGCGCTGTTCCCTCTTCCCCCAATTATGTGCTGTGGCCCTCAATTCCGCCTGCTTCCAATCAGAAATGAAAAGCGCCCTCGCTCGCTTCACACCTTCCGCTACTGCAGCGCCCACTAGCGGCGACTGAGGCGGCGCCATATTTGGTTGTCGCTGCTCTTCTTGCTGTTGTTCTTGTTGTTGTTCTTTTAGTCTCATTCACATTTCGCATTCGCATTCAATTCGATCTTCTTTAACGACATTTCGTCGCTTGCGCGCCCGTTAAAAGCTCATCAAAATACAAAAGGCTAGTCAAGCGCTGAGAGTGACAGAGACAGCATTCGCATTCGCTGCGGAGCGACACTCATAAAAATGCGCAGCATTTAAAATTATGCAAATATTATAAATTTTGTGTGTTTTATTTTTTTCTTCTCTTGAAATGTATTCTTATATTTAAATGCCAGTGCAATTTTCTGTCTCTCTTTCTCTGTAGCATGCTGCACCCCACCCCACCCCCCTCCAAAAAAAAAAGATTGCCGTTGATCCGGCCACGTTCGTTTTGTTGTTGTTGTTGTTGTGTTTATTTATTTAAACTACTTAATTTTATGCTTAAACAGCGCACTCGATTTTTTTGTTGGTTCTGTTTTTTTTTTCTTTTTTGTTGATTACAATAAATACCAGAGTGTTTTTTGTTGGTTTGGCCCAAAGCTTTTTTTTTGTTGCGCGCAGCCAGCGCGTCTGCTGTGGCCGTGGCCGAGGCGACACTCTGCAGCGGCCAACGACGACGACGACGGCGACGCCGACGACAAGTTGTCTCTGCTGCTGACGTCTGTTTGCTGGCAAACAGCAAGAACAATGACGAACGTTGATTATTTTTAGTATTGCGACGACAATTGAGATGTCAATTTGTGAACCACATTCATTAGCTAAATCGATCAAATGCTACGAAGAGAGTGAGAAACGGAGAGAGCGCAACACTGAGAGCAGCAGCATACAACTCCATGTGCCGTTCTCTCATTAGCTAATTGCTGCACAGAGTTCGATAACAAAGTTATCGCTATCGATACCGATTTACAGCACACGATTTGCGTTGCTCTTATTGTTATTTTCGTTGTTGTTTTTTTTTTGCTTGTCATTGTGCTGCTTGGTGTTGACTGCGCCTGCGGCAGGCAACAAACAGTCTTGCGATTCGCACCAGCTTCAATGTTAAATATTCAGCAAATATGTAATAATAATGAGCAAAAGGGTTACGGGGTAAGCAGGGATAGGTGGCTTTAACGGGTAGCAAGGGCAAAAATAAATCACAAACCGGTTAACGTCTGTCTGCTGTCTGCCGTCTGCACTCTCGCTCTCTCTTTGCCTCTCTCTCTCTGCTGATGCTGCTCTTGTCTTGGCCGCCGCGCAGTCGCAGCAAAGCCAACAGCCAGCCGCGTTTGCTGCGCAAAAAAGGAACACACAAACATTATTTGTATATACATATGTATGTATGTGTGTGTGTTTGTTTGTATCAAACAATAACAAGCAGAAGCAGCGGCAGTTAGCAGACAGCGAGCTTGAGCGAGAGGGGCGATGCCACAGAGCGCCCCCAAACGGGCGCAGCATGCAAACAAACTTGCTTTGAAATGCCAATGAACGTGATAGACGACGACAGCAACAACAGCAACAACAAAAACAATAACGACGCCTGACGTTGTCACGCGGCGCAGACTTTGACTGAGCAGTCGGCAGACCTTTTTTGTGCCTGTGTGTGTGTGTGTGTGTGTGTGTGTGTGTCTTTCTTCTTTTTGCTGCCCTTCGAAGAGTTGTTGTCGCTGAGCTTTTTTTTTTTGTTGTCCGGCGCCTATGTGTGACTAATCAAGTTGGCAGCCCTCGCAGTTGCCGTCGGCGTCGCAGTCGCCTGTTGACTTTCGCTGCCTGCGTCTGCGTCTGCGTCGGTGTCTCTATATCGCTCTGCCCAGCTGCTTACATAACCCCCAAAGCGTTTCGCACTCAAGAATCTCAAGTCGCAAATATTTTTTAGGCGCTTTCATGTTTTCGAAACGAAATTAAAAACATTTTGAACTGGTTTAAGCGTTGACTTCTTCAAATTACCAAAATTTACATACAATGCTTTAATTTAAGCACTGCGTATGCTTTAAATACATATATATTTTAGTTATTGTTTTTCACGCTTTTTGTTTGTCGGCCGTCGTCGTGTTTTTCTGGTTGTATGCATGAAATTACAAATCTTCAAATCCAACGCACGGCACGTCCAAAATCGCTGTGTTTTTTTTTTAATCCGCAAATTGGACATTCGCTTATCTTATCATTGCTCTCTCTCTCGCTCTCACTCTCCCTCTCTCTCTCTCTCGCTCCGCGCCAGGCTGATAACTCGGCGAAAAGTTGCGCTGACCACGTTTCGGGCTGCCGAAAAGAAATGAAAAATAAAAATACTATTGTATTACTAGAACAAAGAAGGGCGTAAAACGCATTTGGTCAGGGTTAAGTCCAATCGAAGAGCAGCTGATAAAACGCTCAATTGATTTAGCCGCAACTTTACAATGTACTTGTTGCGTCACAAGCAACGCACAAGTCTGTCATCAGGCAGACACGTGCTCCCTTACCTTCTCTCCCTCTCTCTCTTTCTCTCTCTCTCTCTCTCTCTCTCTGCCTCTCTCTGTGCTCATTTAAAGTTAATTTGGCATATAATTTGATTAGTGATCATTTTTGTGATCAGCTAATTGGTTTGTCATGAAGAAATCGTCTCCAATTGCCTTGGAAATTCCGAAAATAGTTCATGTGACATGTCCTAGTTAGGCTGCATTTGATTAGGATTTGTTTCAATTGTGAGCAACTTATTATCATACAAATATACCTGAAAATTAAGTAATTGCAAATATTAAGAGCTCTTCATATAATCTTGATATTCAAATTGTATATTCAAAGCAATTTTTTAAGCTTTATTGTTTGAATCCTTAACATTTATCTTGCAAGCTTTAACAGGCAACTTCTTAAATTAATATATTTTTATTTAAAAAAAAGATTAATAAAATATCAAAACATTTAGTTATCAGCCTTATATAAGCGGTAGGCCTAAAAGCAAAAACGTTTGTCTCAGTTTAAGATTAAAATGCTTGTTCCAAGACTTTTTGAATCTTTTTAAGCTTTTTCTATGCTTAAAACAAGTTGTTGAACAAACTTTTAGTCTATTCCATTTATGCATATATATGGCATACAGATATTCATGTGTTTTGTGTGTGTGCATATTATTATGAACTCCAGGGATTTGCTTCGCTGAGCTTGTTGGGAGAGCTGACAGTTGGCGATGTGATAAGCGCGATAAGCCAGCGGGAGAGAGAGGGGGAGAGGGAGGGTGGGTTTTTTATATATTTTGCACTGATCTAGTAAAAACCCGCTGGCAAGTCTCGAGACCTCCTTGCATCATCATCATCATCGTCATCGTCGTCATCATCAGCATGTCATGTGATGTTGCTAGTTGCTTGCTTGTTTTTATACCCTCTGCCCATTAAAATTGGCTAATAAAGGGGTATATGGTTATAAAGCAAGATATCTGCGACTATATAAAGTGCGTGTGTATATAAATTATTGATCGAAGGCTGAGTTTATCTTGGTTCATGGGTTCATATCAAATCAAAATCGATAAATATCGAGCAAACCGCAGAGTTAGACTTAAAATATATGGAATATAGAAACTAATTTTAGGTAAATGCAGCACAATATTCATGCGTATCACACACAGATCAAGTTAACCTTTTGTTAAATCGATAAAAATCGATATATAGCCTTTGTATTATAAGCATGTCGTGGCTTTAGATTATCGATACTTCTCTACGTTGCATCAAAATAGATAAATATCGATATATAGCCTCTGTTATATAAGCATGTCGTGGAAATACTCTTGAAATTTGCATAAGGGTTTTAGATTATCGATACTTCTCTTTGCTGCATAGACATCGATAAATATCGATACATCGATAACAGTTTTAACCTGGATTTTTGGTATACCAAGTTGAATGTCATCTTGAATGTCATCTTAAATATATAATAAAGATCGGAAGGTCAATATCAAGCTTATGAAGGAATAAAGTGTGCTTTGGGTTGGGAGAAAATGCAATGCCTGCTGGCTACAGGTCATCTCCTAGTCGATCAGTCTCGT